TTGTGTCGTGCAGAATCATGGATCGGCATATTACTTTTGCAAGAACCCCTCGTCTTGCTTTCCATGTTCCTAATGTTCTCGTACATTGCAACGGTCCCGCTATTTGAGGAGCATACCAAAACTTGACAGGGATCCTAATCGAATCAAATAATATACCCGAATTAACGAGCATTGCACTCTTTGTTTGGTTTTCTTCAATGTTTTGCGCGGCTTCGGTATTCGAGGCGGATGTGCAGACTTCTTCGCGGAAGCTCTGCACATGATGGCGCCGACGCAAGGAACATGGTGAGCTTGCGAGAGACCGCTGTGTTGGGCCTTCCCCGCTGCCCCTAAGCCCTCTCAACAACCCCAAACCTCATGCTTGTTAAGAAAACACGTTTGCACCTCATAATCACCAGCTTGATTAAAGCCTAAGCTGAACCCGACATTGCCCTGCAGACGAATTTGGCGTCCTAGCTGCCGTAGCCCTCTTTCGGCGGGGCTTCGTCCAGCTCAGCCCAGGGAGCCCGCGAGATGGAGGCGGCACCTTCCGATTTGGGTTTCGGGTTTAGGGTTATTGGTTTATGGGTTTAGGGTTTAGGGTTGTGGGTTTAAGGTTTAGGGTTTCGGGTTTAGGGTTATTGGGTTCATAGGCTACACTGACTGAGCACAAGAGCCCTGAAGTCTTTGAAATTCAATAGGCGTTCAGGATCAGGATGGTTCGGGGTGAGGGGTTTATGGCCCTTGGGGCCAAAACCTTAGGGTTGTATCGAGGTCTAGGACCTCAGCTCTAAGGGAAAGCGAATCCCAACCTCGCGCATACCACCCAATTTCTGGGCGCAAGCTCTACCGGGATGCGAAGACTCCTCCTTGTTTTACGACCTTTTCGGATTTCGGGTTTAGGGTTTGGGGTTTAGGGCTTAGGGCTTAGGGGTGGCAGCTTCTTTGTGTTGTCGTGATTTCCTTCACTTCCCTGCGTTGTCCTCAGTCTCCTGGTCTTCGCCCTTCTTCCGTTAGTGGTGCGCTCGTGTCCAACGAGCCTCTTGTCTCAGCACCTCCACCAACCAACCACCAAGCCTGGGGACAACGTTCGAAGCATGCAAAGTCTGGGGCGGCTGTCCTTAAACTCGAAATTCCTGACAGAAGTTTAGAGCCCAAGTCCAAGTTTCAACCCTAAACCCCCCAGTCCCGCCCCCCTCCGCCCCCCCTCCTCCCCGCCTTTGGAGTCGATAAGGCTTTCGAGGTCGTCCTTCCAGCCCAGGGCTTCGGCCAAAGCCCGGCAGCCCGAGTCGCAATCGCCCTGGGCAGGCCGGGCTTAGGGTTTAGGGTTTAGGGTTTAGGGTTTAGGGTTTAGGGTTTAGGGCTTAGGGCTTAGGGCTTAGGGTTTAGGGTTTCGGGTTTAGGGTTTAGGGCTTGGGATTATTGAACCTTTATCCCTGATGATAGGTCCAGTGTTTAGGAATTCGAGGTCTCCGGGATCAGCCCCGGCCCATCTCAGTCCGGACCCATCTCAATGCCAGGAACCGGGCCCATACTTCATAAATCCCAAAACCCAAACTTCATACGGCAAACTCGCTAAACTCCTACAGAGTAGCCTTGCTAATCCCTGACTTAACTTGCATCGCCCGCCTGGTGAAAGACGTCTCGCCAGTTTTGGTCTCCCTCCTGGGTTGTTCTCCCCCAAGGGGTGTAATCTTACTAGCCCTTCGGGGATTGGGGAAGGAGGTTCCTCGTACCACCCCTATGTAATCCTTCAAGGTGCTCTAGAATGAACCTCAATCCGTAAAGGCGGGGCCTATAATGGATGTTTGGAGTGCGGGCGCAGGGTGTAACCGGGCTGATGACTAACATGGAGTTAGAATGGGTATGCAATATCGTTCTGGCTCCTGTAATAGAACTTCCGGGTTTAGAAGTTAGGAGCTTGAGGGTTCTAGCGGTTTACGGGCTTTGGATGAGAGGGGCTGGACGCTTAGGACTTTGGGGCTTCTTTTTGGGGTTTAGGGGGCTTCGGTCGGTTTAGGGTTTAGGGTTTAGGGTTTCGGGTTTCGGGTTTCGGGTTTAGGGTTTAGGGTTTAGGGTTTAGGGTTTAGGGTTCGCCAGCGCGCGCCCCGCGGTCAATTCGCCGCAGGCGTGGCACCCCCCCTCCCCCCAGGAACCCGCCCAAAGCTTCAGTCATTTTTCTAAACCCGATTTGAGTTTTCCTTCGCTCATCCCAGATCATCTAAACCCGATTTGAGTTCCGAGCCCGGGAAACCCACTCAGTGGCCAATTTTGAAGGAGTTTGGACCCTTTTAAACCTTTCCCGACCTCTCGGGACCCGCGGTAAACAGATGTGTTTGCAAAGCGCCCCTTGGAAACACATTTGTTTGTTTCCTTTGGCCCTCCCGGACTGGTCTTGCAGGTTTTGCAGCTTTTGAAGTTATTAGGCATGTTCACTTGTTTCAGCTAGAAAAAAGAAGAACTGACTCGAAACTTGCCTTTCCCAAACCTGCCTTAGTTTTGCACTTGCCCTTTTTGGCGACCAAGCCATCCTGTTAAAATCAATGCTGTTAACACTGCCTGCTCGGTTTACTCGGGGAGTCTTCAATGGGTGTACTGAGACGCACGCTTTCATATGTGGCACCTCCAGTCTCCAGTGGTCGCCAGATCAACCGAATAATGAAGCTGCAACGCACAGCTAAAAGCTCGAAGACTTGGCTTCCAGCATTTCGTTTGCGCCTTGCAGAAGAAAGCATTGACTCGAGTACAAAGGATCACACGGCCAAACAAGCAGCGATGAAACATGTAAGTGTCGAACCTTGTGAAAAAACACGCGCTGATAGCACTGGATGATAGTGCTTTCGCGTTCTTCTACAAGCCTCGTCAAATAAATCGGGGAACATGTAACTGACCAATGATTCAGCAACAATGATGTTGAACTCTTCTAAAATGAAAAACATAGACACCCAAGAAAAGAAACTACGCCCTTTGGAAGTGCTTGGGTGCAATGACCTCAGTGAAAATAATTCGCCATAAATGGCAGTAATCAATTGAACGATGCGGCTGTGCTTAGTTGCTGACCTGGCACGCGCCGCGTTCTTGGGTTTGCGGTGTTTGAACCTCACTTCAGTCAGGATCATGCATCGACATGGCACTGTTGAAAACTCTGATTGAACGGCTACGCGACATCGATTACATGAGACCTTGCAACATGACATATATGCATAACAGCGCCATTCCTGTCATACACACAGCGGGCTGTTTGCACACGGAGAGCTCAGCAATCAGCGTTTTCAATCCGGCTGTCGGGTTTCACCTCGACGAAGTTCCATTTCTACTGCTAAAACTTCCAGCTTATCATTGCTTCCAAGACTAAGTCACAGGCTGCTTCACCACCACAAAACTGATTGAACACCTAACAACGTGCTGCTCTTTAAGTTGCTAATTGTGATGCACGTCACAGACTAAGTAATGTGGAAGAGTTTGTTGTAGACGGCGTCGTGAAATCAATGACTTCCAAGGCCACGGACGACCGCATCCCATTGCAACTTCGTAGCCTTCCGATCTACATCACATATGTAGAAGTGAATCGATTTGCGATTGTTATGGCATGCACAACTCAATGCTCGGTAGTTTCTGCCACCTGCAGTACTTGGCAGCAGTCGAACACGACATCCACGAAGTCAAAGAAAGAAACACTCATCAGATAACGAGCGTGTGCTCCACGGTTACCTTTGATTGGCGCACACACTGAGTGTCCGAGGACCTGGCACGTGCTGCTCGCCGAATGGTAATCTCCTTAAACCCATCATGTACTCGCACTGCACTCGCTCGATGTGGTACAGACATGTTACAGCAGACTGAGAACCTGACCCACTTCTGCATGGCCTCGGGATGATTGCAGGACACCGTGCGTTAGGTTAGAATGAACTTTTCATGAATTGACTCAGCCGTTGACCCACATCGCCCGTCGCATGAAGCCTGCCTGCGAAGCTTCGTTTACATTGCATGTAATTGTTTCCAGTACATGAATTTGAGTTGGATGCCCTGCGCTGTCGGAGTTTTGCTTTCACCTTGCATATAATAACAAAGCCAGCAAATGAAGCGAGTACTTCTCAGTTCAAATTGACATTCGCAACACCCCGACTGTTATAACGGTCACTTCGGCTCGGACCCAGGGAGGCAATGCTCGCCAACGGACCTGGAATCACAAAGTCAACTAGTAACCGTGCACGACGCTTGTTACAATGGTTCACGTGGAGTGTTGCGAGATCATAGTCCACCTCGTTGGATCAAATGCACGCTACATGAACCGCTTTCAAATCGAGAAGCTGACGCTCGATGTTGTTGCGATTCTTTAAGTTCACAACCCAACGACGTCGTCCACGGACCTGTCATGGAGTCAGACGCAGCAACGAAGATAAGGCACAAAGTCACACCTGCACAACAGATCTGAAAGATTAGCCTTTCGGAGCCGTGAATGTCGTTTCCACCAACGGATCTTAAGGATACGCATGCAGAAAGGTAAGCACACGGCCATGAATGGTAGACTTCATAAAAGAAAAACATCAACTAGAGCAGGAGACCAAGCCATTTTGTGGGTTTCCAAGGCCGCCAACCTAAGGAAAATCCCTATGTTTTTTGCCTTAGTCCAGGGCTTTTGACGGCCAACCTCAGGAACATCCCTATGTTTTTTGCCTTCATTCAGGGTTTCTTGAAACTAGGGAAAATCCCTACGGTTTGGCTTTAATTCAGGCCTGTGAAAACCCAAAAAGTGCCAAAAATCACCAAAATTTGCCATTTTTGGTGTTTCCAAGGCCGCCAACCTAAGGAAAATCCCTATGTTTTTGCCTGAATTCAGGGTTTTTGAAATCCCAAAATGGTCAAAAATCACGAAAATCTGCCACTTTGGGTGTTTCCAAGGCCGCCAATCTAGGGAAAATCCCTAGGTTTTGGCCTGAATTCAAGGTTTGCGAAGGCTCAAATGGACAAAAATTGCCATTTGTGTGATTTGCAAAATCCTTATCTTTTGGCAATAAACAGGGCTTGTGAAGGCGCGTTGTTGCGCTTGGTGAGGCTATACAATTTCTATTTATACAGGTCTTGAGGGTTTAGGGTTTAGGGTTAGGGTTTAGGGTTTCAGGTGTAAGAGCTGGTCCTGGTACCAAGCATTCCACGCACACAAGCCCTCGATACCTAAACTCAACCCCAAAAGCCCACAACGGGCCCCAGAAAGGCGGCAAGCACGAACCCTGTACAACCTCTACAAACCCTTAAGGGATTATGTAGGGCCCCATATTTACCCCTTTAAAGGATTATATAGGGCCCTGTATATACCTTTTAAGGGATTGCATAGGGCCCTAAAATTACCCTTTAAGGGTCTAGAAGTTCAAGGGCTTGGCTCTGGGCAGGAGATAGGCTCCAAGCTCTAAACCCGATGCATGTAGGGGTGAGGGTTTCGTGTTTAAGGTACTTGGCTTACGGGAGGGTTTAGGGCTTCGGGCGTCTGAGAGCTGCAGCCGCCACGTTCCAAACTTTGCGTGTCGGCTTTCCGCCTTGTTCCTAAAGGTTGAGGGTCCAGGGAGCTGTCCAAGGCAGGGGGTCTCTGTAGTGAGTATGGGGATTAGTGGATATGGAGACACTATGACAACTGCTTCGGCTCCCGTTTTACGTCAAACCCTATGTAAAAGGCCAAACCCTAAACCCTTCAAACGACCCTAAACCCACGCAACCTACCAGTAACTCCCGAAAACTCACCAGGCCTCAACCCCAAACGTTCGAAACCCCATGCCCTAAAGCCTAAACCCAAACCCTAAACCCTAAACCCTAAACCCCAAACCCCAAACCCTAAACCTTTCCGAAGGTGAGCGGCGAGATGGAAGCGGAAGCCCAAACGCAGGTCATCGCAGGTTCCGGCCTGATCTCGGTTGATCAGCAGCCTGGGAGTAGGGGCGCTTGGGCCGCTTGGGGTTTTGGAGTTGGGGGACTCGGGATAGCCCTAAACCCTAAACCCTAAACCCTACTTGTTCATGGTTTCAAGGGACAGAGTCTCAGGCTTTCCCAAAGACCCAAAAAGACCCTAAGTTCTCAGCAGCCGGGGCGCCTGGGGGCCGCCCTGCCAGCATAGCCCACGAGGCCTGCGAAGGGATGTACAACCTTCGCGGAGGGGGGTCTCGGGGAGTTTGTAGCAGTTTGAAGGTGTAGTGATACTCATATGTACACTCATCAACTACAGCAAAAACAATCTACTTCACGTCAGCCTTCGGGGATTTGAGGCCTCGAAGGGTTTGGGCTTGAGAGTCCGGCAGGTCTCTCGTTGTAGGTGCGCCTGATGTCTCTGGATTGCTCTCGTGAAGTCTTGCATGCGCCTTATCCCAAAGCCTTTGAACGCAGAATTTGGAGGGTTTATGGACTATAGACACTAATCAAACCCTAAACCCTAAACCCTAAACCCTAATTACTCTGCAGGCAAGCAGCCAGGGAGGTCCCCATCACGATCAGCAGGTCACACTCAGCCAGGTCTCTTCTGTGTAGCCGGCCGAAGCGCTCGGGGAGCTCCTGAGGACTCACATCTGGCACTCTTTCGGCTAGGGGTTGAGGGTTTAGGGTTTAGGGTTTAGGGTTTAGGGTTTAGGGTTTAGGGTTTAGGGTTGATGCCAGGGCCTAGGGGCTTTTGATGGCTGTTACTAGACCCAGCCCTAAAGCTCAACTAAGCCCTGTGCGCATCTCAAGTCAACGACAAGAAGCCAAGCTCCAAAGCAGAATCAAAAGCACACCTCCCATGGTGCTCAAGCCCGGAATCCCATAAGCCTACCGGACAAAACGGCCCCAGAACCTTACACCCCCTGAACCCTAAATTCTGCACTCCTCCCCAAAGAAGACGATCTTGGGCTTCACGAGGCCTCCCTTCTCCTCCTTCAGCTTGCGCCAGCCCTCCTCTTCAGGGGGAAGGTTGAGCTGAAACTTCGGATCCTCTGGAGGCAATTGGTCTTAAGTGTAGGTCGCAGGCACTCTGCGTCCCCTTGTTGCGCGGAGGGAGGCGAGGGTCGTCGGCCCCTCGTACCCTGCGGACGAAACCCTGAACCCTGACCCTAAACCCGAAACAAAAGACAGAAGCTCAAGAGGTCTAGGCATCCGAACCCGCCAAACAGAGAGTCCTCGCCCTTGTCCAGAGCTGCTTTCAGCTCATTGATGTCCTTGGCTAGCACCCGAAGCCTAATGTAGGGGCCTGAAGAATTAGAATAGGTTTTGGGGGTTATTGCAGTATAATTAGAAAGGGACCATAAGGGAATATTATTAGTAACTATTCCGACCCCTATATTACATTGCCAATAGTGGTGAAAACAAGGGGCTTGAACAGGTCTAACAAGGGCTAAGAAAGGCTCAAAAAACGGACACACAAGGTTTCAACGGGCCCCATAAGGGGAGAAATTTGTGTGAGCTTGCGTGGGACTTGGGGGCTCATGGCCGAAGGGTAAGAACCCCAGGACTTCTGTTGAGGAGAACTTCCCAATCTTGATCTTAGACCCCCGAACCGATCGTTTAGGGTTTAGGATTTAGGGTGTAGGGTATAGGGCCTTGAACTCGACCTTGCGGCAGAAGCTTGGCTGCACATGTGGGATGGAGATCTTGGTGAAACGTCTAGGATCAACGCAGGGTTTCTGTGTGTCTACGCGGCACCGAGGCTTCCTCCCTGATCTTCCTTTAAGCGCCCGGTACCAACCCAAGTGTCCATCCCCTCTCAGTCCGTGTCCTGAAGCGTTGACGTCAAGCCTTAAAGTCCTAAACTGCGTAGTAAAGGCAATCCGCTAAAGGGCAGACGTGGCTCTACCAACACCTCGGGCTCCGTGTCGATGACATGGGCCGCATCGAAGTTGCCATGAGCCGCCACCTCGGCTCAGCGCTTTGTGAATGCTTAGAACGAGGGCGCCTTTGTTTTGGTTTGTTCAGAAGTTCAGAAGGGAGGGGGAATGAGGGCACTACTGGGCATCCTAGATGTCGACAACGCTTCACCGCATGATTCCCCTCTCCCACCCCCCCCCACAACCAAATTTCTGACTTCAAGAAGCTTGCTACATCCGGGTCTGTTCCTTACTCCGCCTCGTGCATTCACTTCCCGGGGAGCGATGTCCGTGCAGAGTGCTGAGGCCAGAATATTGTAGGAAACTCCACAAGCCCTAAAACCCCAAAACCCAAAAGTTCAAAACTCCATAACCCCAAAACCCCAAAGCACCCTAAACCCTAAACCGCAATCCCTAAACCCTAAACCCCAAACCCCAAACCCTCAACCCAAAAAAAGCCCAAAGCTTACGCCAAAGCCCAAAGCTTTGCAAGGCAAGAGGCCTCGAGGGGCCTGAGGAGTGCTCTCCCAAACCCTCCCGAGACCCTGGCAGACACTTTCAAGCCTTTCCGTCTGGGCCTGAATCGGGTTCAGTGTTTAGGGTTAGGGGTGTAGGGTTTAGGGTTAAGGGTGTGCGTTTGGGGATTAGGGCCCCGTATCGCGGAAATGGAGCTCAGGTTTAGGATGCTTACGGCTTCGGGCTTCTGATTCCCGGCTTGGGGCGAAGGGTCTAGGCCCTAAACGCTGCAGCCCAAGCCGAAACCCTCAACAAACCCCCCTAAACCCCAAACCCTAACCCCAAACCCCAACACCCAACCCCCAACCCCAAACCCTCAACCCTAAACCCTACACCCTAAACCCTAAACCCTTCCCATTCAGAGCACCAAGCCGCCAGCTTCTCTGCAGGCAGTCCGGCTCGGCACTCGAGGCTGTCGATGTTCTGGGAGTAGCACCGTGACAGGATGCCCTGGCGGTTTAGGGTTTAGGGTTTAAGGTTTAGGGTTTTTTGGCGTGGGGCCCCAATAGCCCTAAAACCCTAACCCTAAACCCAAAACCCTATACCCCAACCCCCTATGCCCCTAGACCCTAAACAAGATTAAGGGTGTTCATGTGTAGGGTGGAAGGGGCTCCTTGAGTCTTAAGCCCTTGGGCTGCTGGTATGGGCCTGTTGGAGCATGCGTTGTAGGGGTTTAGGGTTTAGGGTTTAGGGTTTAGGGTTTAGGGGTTAGGGGTTAGGGGTTTGGGGGTCGAGGTTTGGGGTTCTGGGTGGAGACTTTGGGGCTTGGGGCCTTGACGTCTGAGGCGTGAGGGCGAAGCTTCGTGGCCTTCGAGGCGTCTACCTTTGTTTTGCATCCCTCAGCCAAAGAGTTCTGTTCTGTATAACGTGCGAGTAGGGACCATAGATTAGAGAAGTTTACATTTTGAAAATGCCCGTTTCGGGTTTGCTGTTGGGCTTAATAGGTATGCCGGAAGCCCAACAGCATAAGGAACACCAGCATAGCCACTGCCGTGCTCCAGCACGCTCTCGCTACGGTTGCGGGCCTTGTCGTGGAGCAACCTGAGGAAGTAGTGAGCCTCAGCTTCAGCTACGATTTCTTCTGTCCACAAACGAACCTTTACTCTCTGTCATCGGTCTGTCGGTCTATTCTACAAGGTTTAGGGTTTAGGGTTTAGGGTTTAGGGTTTAGGGTTTAGGTATTCTACAAGCATCTATAGAGTGCAGCCATGGGTTTGGAGCTTGAAGGCTCTAGGATGTACGGTCGGGGTTTGGGGTGCGTGCCAGGGCCTTTGATAGCATGCCGACATTCGAGCCTAAACCCTAAACCCTAAGCCCCAAGCCCTAAGCCCGAAGCCCGAAGCCCTAAGCCCCAAGCCCGAAGCCCTAAACCCTAAACCCTAAACCCTAAACCCTAAACCCTAAACCCTAAACCAAACCTTGGCAAAAAAGCGAGGCAGTGCCGGGATGCCGGGGTCGGCTCGAAGTTTCCCGGCCACATCCTGGGCTTGGGGGGGGTGATTGGGACTTTGGGGCTTCGGTTTAGGGTTTAGGGTTTAGGGTTTAGGGTTTAGGGTTTAGGGTTTAGGGTTTAGGGTTTAGGGTTTAGGGTTTAGGGTCTCGCAGGGGCTTCAGGGACTTGTGACTTGGCCTCGTGTTCATATATGGGGGTTTACGAAGATGGGGGGCCCCCCATTTTTTATGGATCCCCAAATAGTAGGATTTCCCTTACAATCAGGACCCCACCATAAGGTACCCCCTAGTGTCGGAACCCCCTGTATTGTGCAGACTCAACGAGTTTTATGCCAACTATTTACTATTCAAACCCTGACCCTCGAAACCAGTAGAAACCTTGCCACCCCCCCCCCCCCCCCCCCCCCTCCGCGGAAACCTAAACCCTAAACCCTGAACTCTGAACCTAAACCCCCCTCAGAACCCTATCTGAGGCAAGTCGCTCCCGGGCCAGCTCATAGAAGGCCGCGGGGTTGTCCCGGAAAAAATTCATCCTTGGCTTGGACTCAGCAGGGTTTTAGGGTCTTAGGGTTTGGGGGTTTTGGGGTTAGGGTTTAAACAGGCTTGGGCTTTTGGGGCTTTTAAGGCTTGAGGGTTTAAGTTTGGAGGGTTTGGGGCCAGGTTTAAAACCGCAAAACCTCAACCCAAACCCCCCAGAACGCTAACCCCAGTTTAACCCTCAACCCTCTATCAGGGACTTGGGGTTTGGGGTTGATCGACGAGCTTTAGGCTCAGGGTTTATGGCTTGGGGGTCTAGCTGTTGAATGGGCTTTAATCAGGTTTACAACTTTGGGCCTCGGAGCTTAACGCGACCTGAACCCTAAACCCTTAACCCGCAAAACAAAAAGGAAAACACCATAAACCCTAAACCCTAAGCCCTAGACCCTAAGCCCCAAGCCCCAAGCCCTAAACCCTAAGCCCCAAACCCTTAAACCCTAAACCGAAGCCTCACAACTTCAAGCCCCTGGCTACCCAGCGGCTCGAAGATGGATTCCGCCTGCGGCAGATTGAACCTTGTAGAGTTTAGGGTTTAGGGTTTAGGGTTTAGGGTTGCTTCGGCCCACACTCGGCCACAAAGGCTTTAAAGCTTTTCCGGGGTCAGAGCGTCGTGGAAAAAACGTCCGAAGCCCGACTTAAAGCCCTAGAAGCCCTCCAAATCCTAACGCAAATAATGGCTTTCTGGCTCTCAGTAGGAATGAATTCCCCAGAGACTCCAAAGCCCCTTAATGAAGGAATATACCTTAAATTATAATCGGAACCCTAATATGATTTAAGGTAGATTCCTTAATTAAGGGGTTTTGGAGTCTCTAGGGTCCCTATCAAGGAAAAAGGCCATGCACGGTCGAGAAGTCAACGGAGGGGATTTTGGGTTTAGGGTTTAGGGTTTAGGGTAAACCCTAATTCCCTCATCCCGACGAAGGACGCTCGTAAGTTCCGACTCTCCCTGCCAGTGCTGCGCTTGGTTGCTGTGCTTTGTATTTAAGTGTGTGCTGGGTGAAGGTGGGCTTCTGAAGAGGGTTCTGGGGTTTAGGGTGCTTCTGTGTAGGGTTTCCTATCCGAACAAAAAAACACACAGACTTTGCTCAACACCCTGAAGCCTCAACCCTAAGCCCTCAACCCTAAGCCCCCCACACCCTAAGCCCTAAACCCTCAAACCTAAAGATCCCTAAGCCCTCCAGCCGCCTCTGCAGGTTGTCGTACAGGCCAGTGCCTGGCGTCCTGAAGTCTGGTATCCCTGCAGGGCACGCTGGTGATATACCCTAAACTACAAATTTTGATTAAGGTATATGAACCCTAAACCCTTCTAGGGCTTTCTAAGAGCCTTCCAGCGGCTTTCGGGCTTTCTGAACCTTTGAGGGTTAAGGTTTCTGCCCCCCCACCCCCCCCCCACCGGTATGAGGTTTAGGAAGGCTGGCTCAGGTTTTGGGGGCGGAGTTGGGGGAGCTGAGGTTCAGCCCCCTTTTTCCGGGTTGAGTGCTTGAGGTATCATTGCAAACCTGCTGTTGCTTCCTGTAAGCCGAATTAATGGCCGGGGCTGTGCAATTCTCCGGTGGCGAGGGGATCTCACGGTGCTAATGTGCTCGCACTTCCCGCCGGACTCTGCGCAAACAAGGCCTACGCTGGAGTCATACGCCCTGTAGTTGTTTTAAGGCTTAGTTTAGGTCTTTTTGGTTTAAGGTTAAACCCAAAGGCACTTTCAGATTTGGTTCTCTTGTTTTAGGTTGAGGACAGCAACAATCTCAGGCATTTAGCGCCTCTGAATCTACTAGACCCGGGAGGAACCGGAACAAAAAGGGTGCCCTTTTTGGTGTTAAGGGGATTCCAAGGATCCCCCAGCCCTAAAAAGGAAAAAACGGGCCTACTCCCGGTCCTAGTTTAGGGATGAAGGGTGCAGATCCGCCCTTGTCGCCTGCGGAAGTGGAGATTCCAGCGCCGCACATCACGACAATCTTCTTGCAGGCCTTGTCTGCGATGTACCTTCGCATGAACCTTAAACCCTAAACCCTAAACCCTAAACCCTTAACCGCTCAAGGCCTAGCTGCGTCAGGCTGCAGGCCCAAAAGCCACAATTAGCCCTCAGCTCTTGACCTGGTTTGCACCATCGACAACACCCCTCTTGGAGAATTTCAAGGCCAAGGAAGTTCAGCAAGGGCTTCTTACCCTCAACTCAACCCGAAAAGATGCCGATGGGGGGGTGGGGGGAGAAGCCTGGCAATTCCCTCCAGGTCGAAACTGTCGACGACAGGGTCCATCTTCTCCTCCATGGGCGCTCTGCCTTTGTCGTTGCTTGAAGATGGAGGTTGAGACTCTGAATTTGGCAGATGTTCTTGAACACGAATCCATGAAACAGTGTGCAGTGGACGGGAAATTGCTAACAGTCATGTGGAAGCAGTTCAAAAATGTTCGGAGATGATCAACAACTTTGAATTGTCGCTCGTTGGCGGGTTCCATTCCAAAAACAAGCGTCTAACAGGGCGCCTAGGAAGAAGGCCCGAGGATGCTTTCACGCCCAGGTGCGCTTCTTCATTCGGCGTCCACTTGCTGAATCCACCATCCCACCCCCGGCAGGCCCACCGAAAAGGTACCTAAACTCTATGACAGATCAACAAAGCATCCCAAAGTCTTGGCCTTAAGCCCACTTTCAAGAATATGGGGGTTTCCGAAAATCAGGGCACCTTCTTGGGGTCCTTGTGATAAGGGGAATTCATTCCTACCCCGGCCCTGTAAAATCTGCACAACGCCCTCAGAGAGCCCAGTGTGAGAAGGTTGGGAGTGAGGGCTTCACGCTCAGGGAACACAGTAGAGCCTCATGCAAACATAAGGACCTCTTTCTTTGGGCCATCTGGGTCATTCCCTAGACTAGGGGTCCTTCCTTTTGAACCCTCATGTTCAAAAGGAACCCCAAAAGGGCCGATGACTTAAAAAGCAACCCCCCCCCCCCCCCCCCCCCCCCCCGCACCCCACATGCATCCCTAGCTGAAGAGGGCGAAGGCACGCATGGACTGTAGTACTTCCACTGGATGGATCCCCTGCTTTGCCAGCTCCTGGGGGAAGTTGAAACGAACCACGGGTGCCAGGAGGGTGTGTTTGGAGCCAGGAAGCCTCTGAACGCCGGACTTGGGTGTCTGTCTTAAGGGGTCACCTTTAGGAAGATGATCACTATAGCTCTATGGGGTGGGTTTAGGGTTTAGGGTTTGGGTTCAGGGTTTTTGGGTTTAGGATATGGGGCTTAGAATTTAGGGTTTGAACCCCAAAGCCCTGGCATCATGTCCTGAAGTTTCGCCAGGAAGGCGTCCTTGCCAGCAAACATGCCGCCTTCCTCGCATCAGACGTCTAGGGGCTTAACGACCCGGGAGTTGGGCTGTGGGTTCTAGCGCCTCATAAGGGCCTGAATAATTAGAATAGGGTTGTGCTTTAGGCTTAGGGTTTAATGCTTGGGAGAAAGTTAGAGGGTTTACAGTAGTCTTTAGGGTTGAAGGACTAGGCAAGCTTACATGCAACTCTCACGGCTTAATCCTAAACCCGAAGCCGCCCAAGCCCCAAGCCCTAAACTCCGCAATCTTCAACCCGTGAACGTTGATGTCGGCGCTCAGCCACATTTCCGGAACACGGGCAAACGTCGTGTGACAAAGAAACCCACAACAGCGCCACGACGGCGCCACAGCAGCAAGGTGGAGTGCGACAGCTCGTCCTCTGAAGGCTCCGGGTCCACGGGCCGACGCCAGGCAGCAGCAGAGGACAGCAATGAACACTCAAAGGTAAAAACCATAAAAGGGTAAACCCTAAAGGGCTTAGGGTTTAGGGTTTGGGGTTTAGCGTTTAATCGCTGGCCTAAACGCGAAAGATCGCTGCCGGCCGACGTTGTATAGCTTAGGGTTTAGGTCCGCCTCGCACATTGGGACTTCGTGTGCAGTCCGGTCAAGTCCTTCTGAGGGTTAAAGCTTCAGGGCTTTACGGTTTCTAGCGCTCTCAGGGTTCAGGGTCTGTAGAATCTTGAATTAAGGGCTATCGGTGAGGGGCACTGAGGCCTACAAACTTAACCCTGGAACCCTCAAGCCCGGGAAAGGCCCCTAAATCCTAAACCCTAAACCCTACACCCTAAACCCCAGATCGCCTGGAGCATCTTCAGATACTCGAGGGCCGACTCCACGTCAGGATCCACTTCCTGGCGCTCTGGTAACAAGAATTTGCTCTCCGGGAGCCCTCAGAAAAAGGTAATTGCAGCTGCAATGATTTTTGCTTTAGGGCTCCATAAGCAAGTCCTAGAACAAGGACTCTCTTGAATCGCTCAAGGTGAAGGGGTTATGGGGCTTGGTGGCTGAAGGTCAGCCCCATGCTGCCGAAGTCCCAAAACCTTAAGCTGCGAACCCCAAATCCGAAACCCTAAGCCCCCCTTTCAGCCCCAAACCCCCAAATCCAGCAGCCCAAAACGTCGAAATTTGCCCAAGCCTCGGAGCCCGGCGAGTCAGGCGACGTAGCGGTTTCCTCTTCTGTATCTCTCCTTAAGCGCAGAGGAGCTTGGCAATTGAAGCTTGGCACCCGGGGAGAGCCCAACACCCCACAGGAATATACCTTCAGTTTAGGGTTTAGGGTTTAGGGTTTAGGGTTTAGGGTTTAGGGTTTAGGGTTTAGGCCCTCTATACTTATACCCCTCTTGGAATTCAAGGCCTGGGTCGCTAGCTTTGAGCGGGGATTGGGGAGGGCTGCAGTTGGGCGCGGAGGGCAGGGGGTCCCCCCCAGTAGATGGTACCATCAGGACCGTAGCCTCCAGATCTCAGTAGAGACCCCAAATATCCCGCCTTTGCATTGAACTTGAGTGTCTGCTTGAAGTACATTCAGCCGATTCCTTAAGTTAAACTGGTATTGGGCTCATTGGGCTCGCTTGGAACATCCAAGAACCCTTTGCCCCTCCAACAAACATTAAGACAACCCTCCTACTCGGGCTGTAGTTTCGAAGCCCGAAGCCCGAAGCCCTGAGCCCTAAACCCTAAACCCTAAGCCCTAAAGCGCCGAGGCACTTCGGCATGGCGCACGGTCCTCTTTGTGGGAGCCGTTGGCTGCTACCCTCCGAGACACCCTTGGAACGTAAGCTGCGGCGGGTAGGAGCGAAGGATTGAAGCTTCACGCCTTCACCCTTGAAGCCTGTATTGGCGCGTATAAACCCTAAACCCCACCCCAAACCTCAAACCCTCCAAAACACCCTTTTGACCTTTTGAAAACCCCTTTGCAACCCTAAACCTTACTTACAGCCCTGCTTGAAGCTAATTTCCCATGAGCCCCCCAAATTTGCAGCTCTCTCAAGGTTTGGGGTTTGGCATTGTGGAGTAGAGGGTTTCAGGGTTTTCAAGCTTAGGGTTTAGTAATAGAGGGGCCTGCATAACTAGAAGAGGGTTTGGGGGTTATTATCGTATAATGAACGGGCACATACGGGACATGAGAGGGTTTCAGGGTTTCAGGGCTTAGCATTGGGGGTCTTAGACCGCTTGGGACTTCTTCGCGAGGGTGCCAGCGCCGTGTCTCCTGGCTCCGAAGCCATCTCGCGCATGGTCCGGGTACCCAGCCGCACCCCTTCCTTAACATTACCCCCCTGCGGGGTGCAACTCAAAAACCAATATCGTATATCGGCGGTTTCTGGAAATTAGGGGGTACCTTTTTGGGGTCCTTACTATAAGGGAACCCTACTGTTTGGGGGTCGCTCTTAGGGGTCCCTTGTTTTCGTAAACCCCATATGATCGAGATCCACAACCATGTGGCCGAGGTTTAACGGGGGAATCCGAGAGACTTCGGGAAGGCCAGACCTACGGTCCCCAAGACGAAATCAGCAGTTGCAGCCACACCTGACCCTAAACCCTACATTATAGGGGGGCCTTAATAATTAGACTAGGGTTTTGGGGGGATTATAGTAAACTTATGTAGGGAAGATTGCGAGAAATTATTCCGACCCCTATATTATACCTGGCTCCCCAGCTATCTACTATTTAAGGGTTCTACCCTCGGGGTAACATTGCATGCATTGGACGTCAGATTCACGAGGCTGCAGGCGATTGAAAGATCAAGGGTTACTCCCGGACAGCCGCAGAGACGTATGTACACGCATATAGGCCTTCTTGACCCTTCTCTTGCTGGGTCTTAATCGGAAATTGGGGAATTGGGTAGCCTTTGGAATACTGAGAGCGTTCTATGGAGGCTATAAGGTCCCCAATCCCGAATTCCCCATTAAGAAGCAGTAAGTTCTTGGTGCACCCTGTGCCGGTAGAGCCCTGGGGGTTCTGATCATGGGATACCTCTTGGGATGTTCCCCCTTATACTAACAGTCCTTGAGAGGAACTATGATAGGGGGTACTATAATCCCAGTAAAGACTGTTAGCACAAGATAGAACTGGCCTGAACTGGGCATGTGTTGATACATGGGAACTGACGGTATGCCACACAGCAAGCGCCCCTTGTAGTTGCTTGAAGCTGCACATGTGGCTTAGAGCTTAGGTTGGGAGTGTTCGGATTTGGGCTTGAAAGCAGCACATGGCGAACTCAGGCAGCGATGGCATCTGGAAGTCGTGCGGTGACATGCCCACCGCGAGAAAAAACACGTCTATTGCATCACATATTTCTGGTAGTTCAAGGTGCCCATAATTCTGCATAACCCCCCAAACCTTAAGCTTAAACCCCAAACCCTTCCCCAACCTTTAAATGCCAGCCTGCCGGATCAGCTCGCACCTGAAGCAGGCAGCAAAGGTGCCCCTTGAGGGGGGTACCCTTACTTCTTCGGCTCAGCGTTATTCAGGCTTGTTTGGGGTTATGTAGGGCAATGTAGGGCTATGAGAACTACTCCTATTTAGGCTTGTCGATGATTGGTTATTCCCCACCCTCAGTGCGGGGTTGCTAGATTCTAAGTCAACCATGCTCCTCGTCTCCTCACCTTCTCGCCTGATTTGCCGGACAACGGCATGAGCGAAGTAAGGGCTACATATACTTCGGGCTATTTCAGGTTGGAATAGATTGTTTTGGGAAGGGGTGCGCCCGTATTTTCGGAAATACATGGCTCCAGCCCTGCACTTGATGACGCGCACGGATGCCTGGATGAATGACGTCAGACACCCCTACCTCGAGCATCATCGCAAAAGAGCAGAAGCTCACATCTAGCACTCATGCTCGGGTTCTTGCTTTAAAGGGGTATAAGGAGGGACCGCTAGAAGGGACCCTTCATCTGATCCCCCAATATATACCCTATGTAGTCCCTATATTCCGAAGTAGCCCTAAGTAACCCCCAAGGTCCCTTATAAGGGTCCCTCCTTTAGTCCCTTGATTACTGGTTTAGTAGGGAATGAAGGAATGAGGTACCTGACTACACCATTCCCTACGAAGAGCCAGGGGGGCTTTGTCGACATGCGCTGTGGAAACCGGCAGCCAATCTTTGACCCGCAGCCTGAAACTATCAGGAAGCAGTTGATACAGGAGCTTAGAGAATTACCAACCCTATGGGTCCGCTCATCCCAATTTTTTTCAGACCTCCGTATCTGTATAAGTCTAATAAAAAACACAACTACCCAGGATCCTATATTAAAGCACTTCTGATGGTCTAGGTTTTTTGGGGCTTCTCACGAAAGTCGCTAGGAGGCACCCTTGATCCGCTGCAGGCCATCGTTGGGAAGCGTCCACCAGGGCTGCTTGTACTTCACCTGATTTTCGGGGTTCGGCCCTCAACTCGGGCCCTAAACCCTAAACCCTAAACCCTAAACCCTAAACCCAAAACCCAAAACCCTAAACCCTAAACCCTAAACCACCCGAAACCCGAAACCATCGCTCCTTGGAGTGGCTACTGTGCGACTTAGAGAGGCATGAGCACCAAAGTCGCAAAGGGATTAGGGTTTAGGGTTTAGGGTTTAGGGTTTCGGGTTTAGGGCTTTGGCTGTTCTACATTAGATTTTGTTGAAAATACTTGTTTGCAAGGGCCATCCGGCTTGAATCTTGGAGGAAGACTCTCTGGTACCCAAAGCCCTCCTAAAACCTCAAGCCTAAACCAATGTAAACTAAAGACCCTCAAGCCCTTAGATCCCTATAGCCCAAAACCCAAACATTCCCAAACCCAAAGCCCTAAACCCTCTTGCAAAAGCCCTGAAGTCTGAACACCGCCCGGGCGCAAAGGTCGTTGCGCAAAGCAACTTGAGGCAGGCTTCGGGATTTGCGCCGTTTCGGCTGCTTGTGGGTTTTGGATTCAGGGTTCAATGTGTGGGGACTCCGTCTCTTGAGCCGTCCGTAAGGCTTACAGTTTCGGTACCTTCAGAATGAATCTCTCATTGAATGCACCCGCCCCTAGGCCAAGCCTGAATCCATGAGGCCCTGACGACGGATCTAAAACCCTAACCCCCCAGAACCCTGAATCGCCCCCAGACCCCGCTCGAGCAAAGAACTGTCTTAGTAGGGCATGCGATACCCTGTCTGTATACTCACTCCTTTCAAAGGGAGATACAGGGATATAAACCCTAAACCCTAAACCCTAAACCCTAAACCCTAAACCCTAACCCCTAAGCCCTAAGCCCTAAACGAAGTACCAGTCTAAAAAGGAGAGCTGGGCTTCCCTCACACATATGTGCGACACGTCGGAGACGCAAAGGCAGAGATCCTCCTTTTGAGGTCAAGTCTTCGGGTTCAGGGTTCAGGGTTCAGGGTTTAGGGTTTAGGGTTTAGGGTTTAGGGTTCAGGGTTTAGGGCTTAGGACTACCGACTGCTCCCCCGCCCCCTCCCCCCACAAATAGGTTTGAAGGCTTCTCGCTCGGAGGGTGTGGTGTCTCATGTGCGGCTTGGGGAGTGCAGGCTTTGCCTGTAAGATTATGGGGAGCCCCTTGTACCCTTATACGTATCTTGACAAAAGGACTGATTCTCTTCAAAAGGGACCAGCCCAAACAAGACATGAATTTGGGACCACCCCCCAACTCCCCCCCAGCCCCCCCACGTAGACCCCAAGCAAAATGGCTTCTTGAACATTGAATTGGAGGAGGGTTGATGCTTATTTCGTCCACCTGCTTGTCCTTCTGGTTCCATGGCAATCTTGCGCAATCTCGAGGCTAGGATTTAGGAATAAGGGCCCAGAACCCAAAGCCTTCTTCTGAACCCCTGCACCCTACACTTTGAACAGGAAACCCAACAACCCTAAACCCTCAACTTACAGTACCCCTTAAGCCCTTCAACTTGTCAACCCTTAAGCCTGAAGCCCTGCGAGCTGGCGCAGTCCTTTGTGTAGCAGTCGTCCAATGCGCCGGCCAAGGGCCACACCTAGGCTCCCAAAGCCCTGCATATACTGAACTTGGAACCCTATCAGAAATTATAATTACAGCTGTTTCTTAGGAAGTAAAGTACCCAAAATTTAAAAAAACATATATTTCCGAGTCTCCCTCAGTTTAAACCCGAGTCTCCTAAACTCCTAAGCCCCAAACCTTGCCGAGATACCCCAGGAACCAAAAACTGGCGCTCGTATTTGCTTGTTGGGCTTGAGAAAGGGAACTACACCCCAAAAACAAGGGAATAAGAAAACTTGGCATCCCCAAGTGAGCCGAGTACGCCCTTCAAGGAGCATTCCTCAACTAGGGGGGGACCCTCTGAATCCCTGCAAGCACTCATAGTCATAGCCTTGACTCCCAAACCCTGGCTAAGGGTTTGGGGCTTAGGGCGGTTTAGGCCCCATCCGCGCCAGTGGCTTGACTCATCTACGCCGAAGGCCACAAAGCTAGGAAGGTGCTCAGGGCTTTGGACTCGCGATCTTGCAAGCTTGCCCCGAAAAAGTCAGTCAACTATGCACAGCACTCTCAACCCGAAGCTGAATCACTGAGGCTCTCTATCCCGAGATGTATCGAGTCGCCGCATCGTCTTCATCGTAAACGATGGTCATAAACACGCCACAGTTCGTGCACACGTGCCTCCTACGACCAGGAAAAAGGTTCGTGGTTGGGGGCTTAGGGCTTAGCCGTAAAAGCGTTTAGGTTCTAAGGGCTAAGGGTGAATGTCGTCTTGCGCAGCTCCTTCGAGCGCGCTCAATGCATCTGTGTGACTACTTTTCCAGTTTACATCAGCTGCAGCAGAACGGACCTGCAAGGACACGTCACATCATTGACCGCAAGAAGCCATCCACAGTCAGCCCGGTCTGTAAAGTCCTCGCGTGGCTTGTCGTCCGAACCTCGGCGGATTGCTGCTTCAAACCTAAACCCTTAGACCCTAGGGTCGGCTTAATAGCAACTTAAGTTTCAGGCGAGGGCGGCGAGGGCCCACCCTCTTCGTAATTGGGAGCATACCGCATTCCTCATTCCGGTTCCCCATACATTTCTTAAGGCAGGAAAACAATGAACAACACATACATAGAAACTCTGGGGCTATCCAGTTAGTCCATGTTAAACATGTACATACACACAAACTTGATACGTCTATGTTGCATACAACACCGTACATATGTGTGTGTATATGTATATAAGCATGTATGCAAACATGAATACAATAACGCAAGAAGCAACATCTACATACATGCGCAGTTTACTCTCGCTTCTACCATGTGCATAATCTACGACGTCTGCGAGTTTCACTCTGTCAGGTTTTTGGGACTCTGCCATCGGTCCTGGACCCCCAGGAGGGTCAGCCTTCTACTAAGGTTTAAGGGTGAAGAGGGACCCATAAGTTAAAAAAGAGAATAAAGAAACAAACAAATAAATAAATGCATATATATATATGTATGTATGTATATATATATATATATTATATACACACCCATGAGTTGCATAGGGCTTTTTAGGGATGACTTGAAGTTAACACCAAGCTCAAACCCAGTCCCCAGTTAAATGGGGGGGACCTTTTCTAGCTCTGGATTTCTATTTCACAGTACACGCTCTATATGCTCCTTGTGTATACTCTGGACCCTTTGTTCCGTTTCGATGACAGTCTACCGTACTCCTTACAGCCAACCTCTGGTAGAACAGATGCCCGCGATGTACAGCAACCTTCTCAGATCGCTCTCAATCTCAAGAAACCCTCACCCACCCCTCCCAGCCTCCGCCCCCCCCCCCCCCCCCACCCCCCCTGCCCCAGTGCTGAGTGCGCAGGCCTTCTTGAGCCCAACCTCGCGGCAATGGAGGTAACCGCAGACCCACGTGTTTAAAGCTTTGGGGGTTTCCTAGGCTTCAAAGGATGAAGCCCTAAATCCTAAATCCTAGATCTAGTCAGTTCCCAGTTTGACAGAGGGTTGTCTTTTCAGTGCTATGATGCTTCCGGGTTTTAAGCTTAAGGCTTAAGGCCTGTGAGTGCCTATGCAGCATGAAGCTGGAGTTCTCCGGTTGAGGACAAGCCACGCGACTTGCAACTTTCGAAGAGCCCTAAACCCTAAAGCCTAAACCCTAAAACCTAAAACCTAAACCCCACCCGAAAGCCGAGATTCGCTATCCGGACTTACAGTGAGGGGGCTGGGAGGTCAGTTTCAAACTTTTTGGGCTGGGGCTGGACGTTTAGAAGAAGTTCATGTGCCGGTGCTTCGGAATGGCTTGGGTAAAGATAGGCTTTACAAAGCCACAGTGTAGTCACTACAGCAAGTGTCCACGAGCTTGTGTTCGTGGAACCCCTCAGTCATTGCGGACTGAACATTTTACACCCCACCGTCCAAAACCGCCCAAAGCTTCGCATAGGAACGGCCAACAAAAAACAAGCAACCCCTACTGAAAACCCCCTTCGCAACCTAAAGCCTAAATTCTATCTAGGTTCCCCAGCAATGGAAAGGGTGCTCAACCCCTCTAGAAACACACCCTAAAACTTAAGATTTTTTATGGGTACCGCCAGGGTCCTTCCCCTCTCCTCTCCCAACAGCCAGGGCCGGCCTTGGCAGTCCATTTCAACTGCCCCTCCTGGCTTCGGAATGTTGAAGGGAGGTATAGGATTCAGGGTTTAGGGCCGTTTAGGGTTTAGGGTGGTCATGAAATGAAGCCAAGGGTCTTGGGACGTCCTGAGTTTAGGGTACACTGCAGGCATGTCTCTGTGAAGCTCACTTCCCTAGGTAGCGCATGGACATGATCCTGTCGGGGAAATATGTCGCGCCCCTTCGTCTTTGCTGAAGCTGCCCATGTCGGTTCAAGTGCTGTTGCTGCTATCAGCACGCAGCACGCTGCGCCGCCTTTGACACAGCTGTGGCACTTGTTGAATGATCGGCTCCCACGCCCCCCCCCCCCCCCCCCTTCCCACATGGAACCTTACACCAAATTGTGGAATGGTCGCACTCTGCAGTTGCACCCGACAAAAGACCCTAAAGGCTCTGAAACGTGAATACCGTAGCCTTAAGTATCCATAAGCCCGAAACCCTACATCATCCCTGCCTCAGTAGGCATCCAGGTCTGCCAGGCCGCGCCAGAAAGCCTTGTCAGGGCTTTGGCTCTAGGTTTATTGAGGCCTTGGGTTTAGGGATATGGATAAGCACGTACACCAGGCAGCAAAAGAAGTCATTGAGATTTAGACACACACACACACACGCAGATATTATATATATATATATATATACACATACACATACATACACAGAATGTGTACAGGTACATACACACACAAACATTGCTCATTGTGTGAAGAAAAGACGACATGAAGACCACGGCTTCCATGGCTATTTTGGGTAACCCCAAAGCCACTAACTCGAAGCACCCCTGGGCTTCAACTCCCAGCTACTCAACACCTCTACTAACGGGGGTACCAAACGGTCGAAACGCGTTGCCAAAACAAACAAATCTGAAGGCCCTGCAACACCAAGGGATCCGAACCCCGAAAAAACCTTGGAGCAGCTCCTTCCTCCCCCCCTTCCAAAACCACCAAACAAACCCAACAAAAAATGATAGCACTTGCTGCATCCGGGGGGCTTCCGACAGCTGCTGCAGTAGCAGTGCTGAAGCTCTTCGGGAAACCTGTGGGATGGCTTAGGACGTTCGGCATGGAGGGGCGAACCCTATACAACGCAGAAATCCCAAACTGCAGTGGCCTGGGCAGTGCGAAGCGGCAACCGCCACAGCTGCAGCCACCTTCGACCTTGATGGCACCTTCCAGCTTTAGGGGCTTAAAGGCTTTGGGTTCAGGGCTTAGACATCTAAAACTTTGGGCAGGGAGGGCTGTGAGGCTAAGGGGCTGGCACCAGATCCGCATGGGGGGCTTTTGGGGCCCGGGCTTTCGGGCTTAGGGGCTTGGGGCTTTGGATATTTTAGGGAAGGAGCTGCAAGGCTTGAAGCCTTGTAACCCTCCAGAACCCTAAACCCCGTCGATCCGCTCTCCCGCGGGCTACACGCGAGCGGCACTTGGATCTTGATGAGTACTTGTAGCTTGCAACATACTGCAAATAGCAGTAACCGTAGCTCTACTTAGAAGAGTCATCGAGATCCAAGGTCACCTCAAGTCTATTGCATACCTTGCATGCCCCAAACCCTAAAACCCTAATCCCAAGTATGCTGGCCAGAACTCATGACTCCCAAAGCCAAGTGGAGACATGATAAACCCGAGGGTACTGTACCGTGGAAGGCAGGCTGGAGTATGCATGGATTGGTTGGCTAGGGGTTTTGGGCGGCTTAGGGGTTCAGGGCTCCAGGGTTCAGCGTACTAGATTCCCACGAAGCTAGGAGAAACCAGGATACCCCTTTCTGTTTGAAACGCGATGCTACTGGGCGTCCTAGCTTACGGCAGATGTCCATTAATCTTGGGGGCCCTAACCCTAAACCCCCAAACCCCAAATCCTCAGCCCTAAACCCTCAACCCTAAACCGCAACCCCTAAACCCTAAAACCCTAGGCGAAGTTACCAATGAACCCCCCAATGGGGCCTCGTCCCGCCAAAGCTTGCCTGGCCTGGACGACGTGATGGGGTCAAGGTTTCGGAACCCAGGGGCCTTCTTGTCATGAGGGTTTTTTAGGGTTTAGGGTTTAGGGTTTAGGGTTAGGGTTCAGGGTTTAGGGTTTAGTGTCTAGGGTCCAGGGTTCAGGGGATTTGGGCATACGCCCCCCCCCCCCCCCCCGAAAATGAAAAGTGAAGGAGCGCTGCTCCGCTCCAAACTCCAAGCACTCAAAAAAAAAAAATAATAATAACGAACATGATGGTATTATCGGACTACTCAAGGGTTTAGGGTTTGGGGGTTTGGGGTTTAGGGTTTAGGGTTTTCAAGTCCTGTAGCGCCCAGTTGTCGGATGCAAGGAGAGTATGGTCCGGGTATGTTGTCGTCAGTGTGATCGTCTTGGCACCATGCCAAAATACAGATACCGAACAGTAGGGAAAATATGCCCATTGCGTGCTAATGCTTCCGAGTATCAAACCCTAAGCCCTAAACCCTGGACTTTAGGCTAGTGCTATCGGTTTCAGAAAGGCCATGGGGGGGGCTTCTAGAGCTCAGACAAGCGCATTGTATGCGAAAAGCCCACTGACGGCAAGCGTCGATCTTGGGGTTGGGGTTTGTAGGGTTTAGGGTTTAGGGTTCAGGGTTTAGGGTTATTTAGGGTTTAGGGTTTAGGGTTTCCAAACCATGTCAGAGATGCCCAAGATGGAAGGAGCCGACATGTGGACCAATCAGCTCTGGACAGCGTTCAACACCTACTTCCTACCAAAAAGTCGAAACCCCATCTCCGAAGTCCGAAAAAATCGAGCACCTCCCCGAATTACATGCAACAAACCTGCACCCTGAAACCCTAAAGCCCTATCAGCCCAAAAGCTCTAAAGCTACACCCGAGAACCCTGAAACCCTGAAAGCTCTAAACCCTGTACCCCTGAAACCCTAACTTTGCCCAGAAGGTTCGAAACTATACCAATCATAAAGAACAATGTGATACATGTTCCCTGGAGAGTTGTTTTATGTAAGAGCACCGGGTCCTTCTGCTTCTCCTTCTTCGTGGCCGGCACGAATCCAAGGAAGGGCGGGGCCTCCTGCTGGCACCTAGCGGCGGAATTCTAAGGCTGTTTTTTGTTGGGGGGGGGGGGGGGGGGGGGGGAGGGACGTTAGTTAGGGGGGTTTAGGTTTGTTGTTGTTGTTGTTGTTGTTGTTGTTGTTGTTGTTGTTGTGTTGTTGTTGTTGTTGTTGTTGTTGTTGTTGTTGTGTTTGTTGTTGTTGTTGTTGTTGTTGTTGTTGTTGTTGTTGTTGTTGTTGTTGTTGTTGTTGTTGTTGTGTGTTGTTGTGTTATTTTTTATTTTATTTTTTTTTGGCGGGGGGGGGAGTTGGGGGGAGTTAGGGTTCGGGCTATTCATTATTAGGGGGGGGGGGGGGGCGGGGTTAGGGTAGGGTGTTGAAGCTTTATGGGGATGTTTTGTGAGTCAGGGTTTTGAACTTTAGGGTGTTGGGTAAGCAGGGATAGGGATCAAATCAAGTCTTAGAGTTGATACAGTCCAAACCATAGCCTGCAAAAAGCGAAACCCGGAACCTGGTTATCGGTATGTGCCCAAGTCTCAGTCTCAGGGGCGTTTGGAAAAAAAAACTCGAGGCTCCAAAACCTCTAGGCCCTCCAAACCCTCAACTCAACCTCGATCAAGCGAAAGCCACAAACCCTGAAACCCTGTGCTCTTCAGGATTCAAGTTTTGAAAAACATGTGGGGTTTCGCGCGCGCAGCCTAGACGTGCCAAGATGCGGCCTTTCTCTGAGCCTAGGCCCAGACCCCCAAACCCCACACCCCCTGCTCCCTCAGCTCTACACCCCACTAAACCCCCCGTACTTACTGGGGCTCCCACCAAGGCACGAAGCTGTGCACCGGCGGCAGATTCTCGGACTCCCAGCACGGCGTTAAGTCCGGGTTTAGTTCTTAGGTTTATCGGGCCTCTAGCCGACGCGAGGGGGAATGCGAAATCTGTATCAGAATCAGGCCACTGAGAGATGGATCGGGTCTCCAATCAGTGTGTCAACACAAGAGGGCTCCAACGTGCAGAGGAAGCGGTGTAGGTAAATGTTGCCGTGCCGGCGCACGCAGCCTGGACCATGCGATCTTCTCGAGGCCTGCTCGCTTTTTGGAAGACAAGGGCGCTCTCGCCCAGGTGCTAGCGTAACCCCGCTCGCCGTCCTCGAATCTATTGTCTTTTTGAGGGCAAAGTTCGCCAAATGCGAAACCGTCCTCGCTTTTGGACTTCGGGGCTCTGGTGCCTTGGACCATTGGAGCGCTCTTTCGTGTCCCCATGGTCTCTCACTGTTTGGGTCCACGCCGGCAGCAGAATTGTTTAGGGCTGCGAGTCTTTGAGTTCTTCAGGGTGTCATGGTTCAATTAGGAGGCTCAATGGACTCGTAAAAAACCGGAAGCACTAAACCGAGTTTGTGGGGTAGGGGCTCGATCTACGGCTGTTTCTGTAAGGTTTATAGGAGTTAGATTAAAGTGTCGGGCTTGGGGAAGGTAGTTCGTTTGTGGACATTACTTCAAAGATCGGCTGCGGTCCGTGGTCATAGCACCGGAGCGCCCAAATCCCCCTCCAAAACACAAAGTTCTAAACGCTGAATCACTACACGGGGTGTTTCGAAATTGAGGGTACCTTATGCGGGTCCTGATTATAAGGGGAATCCTAAGGGATCCGCCCATTTTCGCAAACCCCCGCATGCCCCCACCCTAGAGGTGCCCTTTGTGCCTCCAGTGAGCCGGCACAGATGTGGACCTCCTTGCCGACCTTTTTTTTTTTGTTGGGGTTTAGGGTTTATGGCTTAGGGTTTAGGGGGGTATGCCGACCTTTGGAGGGGGGGGGGGGTTATTATTCGGGGGCCGTAAAAAAATTCGACAGGACTTTTTTTTTTGCCGGGGGGGAGGGGGGGGGGGGGGGTTCGTAAGTATTCCGACCCCTACAGTGTTGGGGGGACCTCCTATTTTGGGAAATGCTCATCTTTTCGGGATCGAATCTAAGTTTAGGGATGTTCAGATTTTTAGCGATGTGCGGGGCTTTGGGGCTCACCGCAGAGGCTTTAGCAAAGCGCACAATCTTGACGCTGTGAACTATACCACAGGCCGAGAACATGTGTTTTCTAGGTTTTCTAAATGGCCCTAGACCCTAAACCCGAAACCCTAAACCCTAAACCCTAAACAGAAGCTCCCAGTTCAACGAGATCTCCGAAGCCCCAAGCAAGCCTTCAACCTCGAATCCCAGCCTTGGGAAGCATGGCCAAGGAGGAGAAGCACTTGCCGCAGAAGACCCTGAGGCAGCTAGGGTTCAGGATTCAGGATTCAGGATTTAGGGTTTAGGGTTTAGGGTTTAGGGCTTAGGATATAGGGTTTAGGGAAGCATGTCCAAGCTTTAGTGGAGGAGATTCTCGTCCCGCACTTTCATTCAGCCTTTTGGGTGGCGGGCTCAAGATACACGCGCTGTTGGGCCACAGTCCAAGGGTTTAGGGCTTAGGATTTGGGGCTTAGGGTTTAGGGTTTAGGACTTGGGATTTACGGCTTAGGGTTTAGGGATTAGGCCTTAGGGTCTGTAAAGGTGTTCGGGTTTAGGGTTTGGGGTTTAGGATACCAAATTGTGGGCTGACTGACCCTTAGGTTTGGGGGAAGCCCCTGCTCCTAAACTTCGAGATTGAAGGCTTTAAGGGCTCGGTTGAATTCGGCCCGCATTCCCCAAACAGAACCATCGCATAGGAGAATGACGTGGATCGTTCCTCGGCACAATGCTTAAACTCTTACCTAAAGCCTAAACCCTTAAACCGTGAAGCCTCAAACCTAAAGCCCTCAAAGCCTAAAAACCCTCAAACCCTTAACTACTCTAAACCTGGTCTCCTCAAGCCGAGAGGCCCTAAACCCTAAACCCTAAACCCTAAACCCTAAACCCTAAACCCTAGACCCTAGACCCTAGACCCTGAACCCTGAACCCTGAACCCTAAACCCTAAACCCTAAACCCTAAACCCTAAACCCTAAACCCCAAACCCCAAACCCTAAGCCCTAAACCCTAAACCCTAAACCCTAAACCCTAAACCTGCGCACCGGCCTCAGGACGTCCGCGTCGAGGTGCTTACATCGATCCCGACGAGCTTCGACCAAGTCCGAGCCCTGTCTCGTCCGCAGGCTTTTTGTTAGGGTTTAGGGTTAGGGTTTAGGGTTTAGGGTTTAGGGTTTAGGGTTTAGGGTTTAGGGTTTAGGGTTTAGGGTTTAGGGTTTAGGGTTTAGGGTTTAGGGTTTAGGGTTTAAGGCTTGGGCTCGTGGGCTTCAGGGCAGGAGGTAAACAACTGTATGCTGCCGTTCCAATGTGAGCCTTCAGGGATGCCTCCGGAGGCCTTTGCAAGGGGGAGGCAGCTCGAGGTTTCTCTAGTGCGGTTTAGGTTTAGGGTTTAGGGTTTAGGGTTTAGGGTTTAGGGTTTAGGGTTTAGGGTTTAGGGTTTAGGGTTTAGGGTTTAGGGTTGCTCCAGGTCTTGAAGCCCCCAAAAAACTGAATCACAGTAGCGAACAACCCCGACCCTACCACTGCAACGTAGGGATGTTTGAGGATCCCTCCGCCTTGACCCTTTTCGTTCCCCCCCCAAAAGCACAACAAGCAAGGTCCGTGTCCTGAACCTTGAACATTCAAGCGTCACCCGAAACAGCACATCCTGAGCCCTAGACCACAAACAACCTATTCACAACTAGGTAACACTAATAAGCTACCCAAAAAATCTCTTTCGAATTTTATTGGTAACGAAACCTCAAAGACTGCAGACGGAGAGCCTTGAGCCTTTCAACTGCCGCAGTGGGCACCTCTGGGTCCAAGCTTCATGGACCAGGGCTTAGGGTTTAGGGTTTGGGGTTTAGGGTTTAGGGTTGAAGCTTGAAGTTTGAGCGGACTGCAAGAAGCAAACAGGCTCTGTACTACGCACTTTATTCGGGAGTGTGCAAAGAGCGGTTGAAAGTACATCCGCAATCTTATGCTGCGTGAACATGAGCGAGCATCAGCAAGCTCAGCCACGGCCCCCTGTGTTAATCCGAAACCCGCAACCCAGAGCCCTAAACCCTGATCCCAGTAACTGAACCTTCAACATTCGAGTCCCCCAAGCCCCCCGGTGACCCTACGCCTACCCGGCCAAGCTTCCTGGCCCTGTCTTGTCCAGGAGGGTGGCAAAGGTTTCGGGTTGAGGGTTTAGGGAGTCTGGTTGCGGCACGCAGTGCCACTTGTCGCGCCAATCAACCTCTCAAGTAGCTATGCCGAACTCATGATCGGCTTCGGGATGTCAGGAGTTTCTAAGATGACTCCTGTCTAGTACCCCTCTCCAACACTATGTAGCCAGACCCCACCAACTCACATCTTCAGGGTTTGGGGTTTAGGGTTTAGGGTTAGGGTTTAGGGTTTAGGGTTTAGGGTTTAGGGTTTAGGATTTAGGGTTTAGGGTTTAGGGTTTAGGGTTTAGGGTTTAGGGTTTGAGGTGCCAAGGGTTTGGAGTTTAGGGCTCATTTTGCAAGATCTACCAGCTTCAGCCAGGCTACGGAACCCGCCAAAGCCACAGGCCAACCCTTGAAAACCGACCCTAAACCCTAAACCCTAAACCCTAAACCCTAAGCCCTAAGCCCTAAGCCCTAAACCCTAAACCCTAAACCCTAACCCCTAACCCTAAACCCTAAACCCTAAAACCCCAATAAATCCTAGCTTCTCAGCCGCGCGCGGTGACGTAGGAGGCAAAGGCAGCCTGGGCAGTGGAGAGCAGTATCTCCATCTCGATCTTCGGGTTTTGCTCGGGGGCTGTAGGGCTGCAGGGTATAGCAGATCAGGAATCAAGTTTTTAGGGATTGGGGTTTTAGGTTTTAGGGCATGAAGGACAATCAACTACACAATACAACGTTTCGGAACGGTTTGGGGCTTCAGGATTAGGGGGCAACCTCAGGCCACTCATGGGCGTAAAGGTTTTAGGGTGCTGCAGGGCTGCAGGGGGACGGTGGGGTTTAGGGTTCAGGGTTTAAAAACAGGATTGAGGGTGCAGGGTTTAGGGTTCAGGGTTCGGACTTCGGGCTCAGGGTTTGGGATTTACGGGTTCAGGGTTCAAGGTTCAGAGTTTGGGCTTGAGGGTTCAGGGTTTGGCGTTCAGGCTTTAGGGCTTGGTTTCTTTAGGCTTGGGGGTGTCAGGGGCCGTTATAAGAGTAGGGTTGCACCTTAGGGGTACCCCCCATATACCCCCAACATACTCGACTCCTCACTCTCATAACCTCCACAGATTTGACAAAATGGTACTCCTATGTGGCCGGTGTTCTCCTTCTTGAGCCTTTGGCTGGCTCCTGCTCCTGCTGCTAACATTGGTGCTGGGCATGTTAATGTAGAACACCCCCGCCCCCCTACATAAACAGTCAGAATTTCTCAATCGCTGCTATAGCGACTCATGAATTTTCAGGGGCCCAGAAAGAAACCCGAACCCTAAACACTAAAAAAGCCCAACCGAAAACCTTGAAACCCTTAAAGGCCTTCAAGCCCTTCAGCCCGAAGACCCTCTTATGCTACCAGGCCTTAGTAGGAATTATACTGGGGGGGGTTTACTATACTCCCTATTAATTAAGGACTCTTAGTATAAGGGGGAACATCCCAACCCTTACCCCTAAACCACCAAACCCTGTCTCAGAGCCATGTGGCGGCGTGCGCCCGACGGCAAAAGCTGCAGTGGCCTCCAGTCTTCGCAGCGACAGTCCAACGCTTGAGGATCCAAGGTCTAGGGTTGCAGGGTTCATAGGTTTAGGGATAGTATTACAAAGTTTAGGTTTGACATTATAATGATAATGGTTTATTTATAATGGCTCAGGGGATATATTATAGTGGTTTAAGGTTCCATGGTTTAGGGTTTAATATTATAATGGTTTAGGCTTCAGGGTTCATGGTATTGAGGGCTAGCCGAACATATGTGGCACATTGTGGCAACGATTCGTGAGGTGCAGTGCGGCACTGTCACGATAATTTGCCTTTGCTCCCGAGGTGTTCACCGACAGAGCTTTACAAATAGGGCCGAACAAGTGTCGTGACAACAGGGTCTTCTTTGTACTCTTTGCGACAGCTTCTTGCAATGATGCGCTGCTCCGGATGATCTCATTCTTGTTCTAGGGCGACGCGGGAGAGTCCCGCTCGTTCCCAGCTTGGTATGAAACTCTTAGCTTCCAGCAGTAGGGCTTTCATACCGTCAGTCCTTGTTTGGCTGTGAATTCTGGGAAATCAGCTACGAAGTTGGTGGAGGATTGAGCCATGTTCTGGGGCGATTTAAACCTGAGCTCTTCGCGACTGCTTAGAAGCCCATGCGTGGCCAGAAGTGAGGTTTGCAAGTAGGGTAACCATAGTAAGTGCGCACGCCGCCCTACTTGCTATGCTTTGTTTTGTAAACTTGGCAAACCCTAAACCCTAAACCCTAAACCCTGAACCCTAAACCCTGAACCTTCAAGGGCTTTCAAAGCTCCGCCCTACAGACGAACCCTGATCCAAGAACCCTAAAACCCTGAACTCTAAAACCCTAACTCCCTATATAAACCCTAAACCCTAAACCCTAAACCCTAAACCCTAAACCCTAAACCCTAAACCCTAAACCCAACAAGAGAGGTTTTCGGCTGTCCAAGTCGCAGTTCGCCATGTCCAGCTTGCCCGAGGAGCCCTGGGGCCGTACCTGGCAAATGCTGGCTGAAGACCCTCTTAAACCAATAAAGGTTTAGGGTTTAGGGTTTAGGGTTTAGGGTTTAGGAACAACAAGCGAAATCCCAAGGCCACCTAAGAATGTTGGTGGTTTCGGGATTGGCGGTTTCAGGGCAGGTGGCTTGGGGGTGTTTGGGCTGTCTGAGTTCAGTCGTGGCTTAGGCTTCAGGATTGGGGCTTCAGGTATAGGATTTAGCTGTTTAGGGCTTTGAGGGTGTTGCGGATTTCATGTGCAGGGTTGAGGGGGTTCAGGCTTTAGGGCTTTTGAGCGCTCTGGCTTGAACTTGCTCTCTGTCTCTCTGTCTCTCTGTATCTCTCCTCTCTCTCCTCTCTCTCCTCTCTCTCCCCTCTCTCCTCTCTCTCCCCTCTCTCCTCTCTCTCCTCTCTCTCCTCTCTCTCCCCCTCTCTCCTCTCTCTCCTCTCTCTCTTGCAGGGCCCCCAGAATTCATGCCCCGAAAGAACCCCGGGCCCCCGTGTTCGCCGGGACCAGGGGCCTTCCCAGGCGCCTGACTGAGCGTCGTAAAGCCCTTCTCGCTCCTCAACCCAATCTGAGCTGGAAAGGCAACACCTTAAGCCCGAAATCAAAACGCTAAACCCTGAACCCTGAACCCTGCATTGAGGATGTCAGTCTTGCAAGGACGCTAAGGGTTTAGGGCTTGGGGGTTTTGGAGCTTAGGGCCTAAGGCTTTAGGGTTTTTGGGTTTAGGGCCTAAGCCCAAGAAGTTCATGGCTTCAGGACCATTGGGCTTTCCTTACTAGGGAGTGCAGGGATCAGGGCATTTGGGCATTTGTACCATTACGCTTCCCGAACACACTCCCTAACCCAACTGCTCTTGTCTTTCCATACAGAGAAGATGCAAGGCTTAGCTTGAATGTTTTTCAGCTGCTACAACTACAGCGCTTCTTCTACAACCGGAAGTTGGGGTTTAGGGTTCAGGGTTTAGGGTTTCGGGTTTGGGGTGTGGGTTTCGGGTTTTTTTCCGGCTAATTTCAGACACTTTTGGCCAATTCCTCTAAGGCCTAAGCCCTCGCCTGTTGTGCGGGGAACCGAAAACGACAGCCGCCGCACTTGCAGCTGCCTCAGCAGAGGGTTTAGGGTTTAGGGTTTAGGGTTTAGGGTTTAGGGTTTAGGGTTTAGGGTTTAGTCTGGAATGATAAGCCCTGAATCCTAAAACCCCTACAGGGTTATACAGTGCCATAGGGCGCCTCTCTTGAATCTATGGCCGCTCATTGGGTCTCTGTTGTACAAGGGGTTTCTGAAGCTAGGGCTAGGGGTTCTTTGGGGGTACCTCGATAAGGATGGTAATGTTTACTGTGTAGGGCTTAGGATTACACAGTAGTTTTGGCAAGAGGGTGGGGGTCAGAGGGTGGCATAATCCTGGTACCTATTTCGGGAAATACCCATATTACGTACAGTTGAGGGATTGACAATGCCGATGTAACTAGCCAGAAGTCCTAGACTCAAGCCGAAGCATCGTCCCAAACAGGTGTGCAACCGGCAAAGCCTTCTGCAACCCCGGTCACTGGTTCCCTAAACCCTAAACCCCGCCGAACATGTTGCTGTTGAGGTTTCGGGTTGAGGGTTTAGAATCTAGGGTCGGGGGTTGGGGTATCAGTTTGCATACCAAGTAAGCCATGGTGTATACTTCTTAAGCACAAGAAGCTACCATCCGGCAGTGGACAAGAGCACCACCCGAAACTATACCACTTCGTAGGGTTTCAGGGTCTTAGTGTTTTGGGATCCGAGTAATTAATTCATCAGCCCTAAATCCCCACAAGCCTTGAACCCGCAAACCCCTAACTCCTGAAAGCCGCCTAATCCCTTCCTCCTAATACTGAACGCTCCCCCTCCCCCGCCCTTCAAAGCACCCAAAGGGTTTCTAGTAATGGGGGGGGGGGGTTGGGGGCTCTTATCGTTTGTCCGAACAAAAAACAGTCCTTCCAGCTTGCTGGCTCAGTCGTAGAGCAGGTTTCAAGCTTTAGGCCTAATAGGTTTCAGGCTTCCCCCGCCCTCTAAGTCTGTAGAGATATTAAACAGGGCGACTGCCGGACCGGGTTTTGGGGCCAGAGTTTTATCTTTTGTATTAGGGGTGTATTTATACTAGGGGGAGGGGATTACCCCTCAACCCCTAACACCTCTAAAACCTAAACCCTGAAACCTAAACCCTAAACCCTAAAGCTGACCCTAAACCCGGACCCTCTGCACGCGCCTGTGATCATGGGACCTCCACCGGCCCCTTCTTCCCTCGCCTCCTCCTCGCAGTCGCTATCCTTCGGTTTTCAAGCTTCAGGGCTTCTAGGATTGCCCTTAAACACCTCGAAAAAACCCCTGCAAGCAATTCCTATCAGGGAGAATGCAAAATATCCCACGGGCCTACCTAGGTTTGAAAGGCCTTCTTTGTTGATTTTTTTTTTTGGGGGGGGGGGGGGTTAGACGGCTTGAATTCTGGGCCTTCGTTCTTCTCGGCTTTGGGGATTGTAGGGTCTAGGTGGTCTGTAGGGTTAGGGTCTACAGGCTTTGTAGGGTCTACAAGGTAAGGTTTTGAAGTGAAGATAGGGCTTAAAGGGCTCGTAGGGTTTGTAGGGCCTGTAGGGCTCGCAGATTTTGTAAGGTTCTATCTAGCCTCTATTGGCTTGCCAAGGTTCCTAAGGTCTGGGGTATTGCAACGGCCTTTCGCATACGTAATGAAGGAGGTTTGGGGCTTCTCATGCGTCCTAAACCCTAAACCCTAAACCCTAAACCCTAAACGCAAAACCCTAAACCCCAAACCCTAAACCTTAAACCCTAAACCCTAAACCCTACAGGCCCTTTGAACCCCAGACCCCTAAACCGCAAGCCCTCGAGACCCTGGGCCTTGGAACCCCTGCGTCCTGGGTGGCCTGCGCATGCAGCGTCACCTTCTCTATGCTTTCAGGTTTAGGGCTTTGGGGTTTAGGGTTTCAGGTTTAGGGTTTAGGGTTTCAGGTTTGGGGTTTAGGGTTTCGCCCCCATTGAAATTGGACTCAGAAGGCAGTGGAAGGGTTCAAAGGCTAGCAATTTCCACGAAGCCAGAGAGCTAAACCCTAGAACTTGTGATCCTGCAAGTGCAACCCTAAACCCTAAACCCTAAGCCCTGAAACCCTAAACCCTAAATCGACTGCACAGTGTTTGGCTGCTTTTGAAGGTTCTATGCGGCAGTTCACCAACAAACTGCTCCAAACATGGCCCTTTGAAGGCCTAAGACTTTGGGCTTAGGGTTCAATTGGGGTTTAGGGTTTAGGGCTTTAAGGTACAGGGCTCATGAGCCAGGTTTAGGGTTTGGGGCAGCACCCACTGGGGTTTTTGCCTGCTGGTTCTTGGTAGGGAACGAGGGCATGAGGTAGCCTACAGAGTCCCTTAAAGGGCAGGGGGACAAAGGGCACCGAATTCCCTCATTCCCCACTCAGTTCTTCGTCGGTATAGGGTCAAGGGTGTATGCTCAAGCGTGAGGTGGACATAGGGGGAGGTTGGGGAGTTGCGGTCGAAGCCTCGGACTGCAGACAAACCCCAATCCCTCAGCCCCAAAGGGGTTTTCAATATTTAGTATCAGAAGTATGAAGAAGGGATCCGGCTGCAAGCCGGTTTTTGCATCCAGGGGGCCTTTGCAGCAAAGTCCTGTGCTAGACGGTCGACGTCCTGCACCGCCAGTCTGCTAATGGGTGTTGGGCTTAGGGTTTGGGGTCTGGGGGTTTGCCGGGCTATCCGTCCGAAGATCCTCAACTCAAGCAGGGGAACCCTGCAGCCCGTAGACGCAAAAAGAAGCCAGAAAAAGGTTTGGGTGCAAGGCTTTGCGGATTTCATCTGCGAGGCAAATCAATGCAAACCTGAAACATTGGGCTCTAAATCAAAGTTCTCCCCTGAAAGCCTCGTCCGTCATGGCAGTCGCACGCAAGGGGGAGCTGTGCTCGTACTCGCTGTGCGTGGGGATGCGCTTGCTGTGAGGGCAATGCCCCCTGGGATGGGCTTTCCTACTCCTATCCTTCGTGTCGCTATGGATATCATCCTTTTGCCCTGATGCTTGCTGTCGCCAGGTTTAGCTTGGACTCTAGGAACAGGGCTGCGAAAGGGCTCCGGCGCCGAAGGCTACAGGCTCAAAGGTTTAGGGTTTGGGGTGTAGGGTTTAGGGTTCATGGCTTGTACTCAAACCCTGAACCGTTCGGTTCTGGTGCTGCAGGGGCCCACCAAACATGGGCAACATCGTCTTTTCAGAGCCGAGCAAAGGCATGCAGTTTCCCTGTCGCTCTGCGTGGTCGTGGGTCGGCGGCATGCAGCCCCAATCATAATCACCAACAACCTGCGGCCCTAAACCCTTAAACCGTACGAAAGAGCAGTGGTAAGTAGGGAGAAGTGCCTCAAAGTGAGGTTATAACCAGCTAGTAACAGTTCTGAGTTGGACTTTACACCCTTTGATAAACCTCTAGATACAAACCCAAATAATGAAAATATGAAATACCCCGAAAACCAACCCAGAACTGCCAAATCTCCATGGAGCCTGAACGTAAATCCCAAAACCCCAACCCTTAACCCTAAACTCTAAACCCTGAACCCCAAACCCTTAACCCTATACCTTACACCCTAAACCCTAAACCCTGAAGCCTGCTTTTTTGGATCCATGGCTGGTGCGCAGCGAACCTCCTGTGATGCTCTGCTTGGTCTCAGGGATTTAGGTTTCCGTTGGTTGCGATTTAAGGGTAAGTTCTAGGGTTCCGGGTTTAAGGCTGAGGATATGGAGTTTAGGACATTATTTATGGTTGAGGGTTTCAGATTTAAGGTAAGGTGGTTTGGGATTGAGGGTTTGCTGCTTTGGGGGGATGAAGCCGTGAACCCCAAACCTTTAGGGTTTAGGGTTCAGGGTTTAGGGTTTAGGGTTCAGGGTTTAAGCCAATCCTGAAATCTATTGGCTTTGTCAGAGCGCTGAAAGTGTTTGGCTCAGGCTCGTCCCCGGCGCGACCTGCGCGACCGCGAGACTTCGGCGACTTTTTTTCACGTGGGTGTAACAGTGTAAGGCCTGGGGTTTAGGGTTTACGGGGCTTGCAAAAAGCACGATTTGGGGTTCAAGATGTTTAGTTTTGAAGGTTCCTAATTGAGAGACAAACTCTGAAGCCCCAAAGCCCCAGAGCTGTTGAATGCCACCCTAAGCCCTGAACCCTGAACCCTAAACCCGCCCCCCTCCCTTAAGAACCCTATAAATAAGGTCAGGTGTCAATGTATAAGGTTGGGTGTCAATATGGGGGCTTGCGATGTTGGGGGTACCTTATTTGGGAACCCCAATATGATGGTCCCTTTTGAGGTTGTGCATATAAGCCGGTCCCCAAGAATCAGGGTACCTTAATCAAAGGGACCATCAATGAAATGTAGAGAACAGAACAAACCTCATAGCCTGTGAACTGGGCTTGGGGTTCAAGGATCGAGTTTGTTAGGAACTTTTCCCAAATAAGGTGCTCTTAAACCCAATAGGGGCACATTAACAACATTCCAATGTCCGCGATACAAGTTTACGGCTTGTCCAAGCTAAAGTGTGGCAAACCCCCATGCCTGGCGTCGCTGGCGGTTCGGGCGCGTGCGACAATGTCATTGGCAACAGCGGTAGCAGTCACCTGCTTTGTTGCGACATGTCGTTGGGGCTTCAACCCTAAACCTACACCCTAAAACCTAAACCCCAGACCCTTCCAGTCAGGGGTGCCAATCAGTTGTCAGATCGCTGTCCGAACTACGAGTCCGACAGTTGCAAGCTCGACAAACTTGAGAATCTTCTGGCGAACCCTGACTCCCACACCCAAAACCCCTGATGTCAAGCAAAAGCCATGCATGAACCTTCAAGAAGGTTCATACGTAGTGATAGACGATTTTTTGCAAGTACCTGGAGCAAGCTTTTAACCTGCGATAGCCATCGTTTTCCTACTTGCGGACTGCCATTTATTAATTAGCATGAACCTCCAAGTCGTCCATAATGAGACACTCGACTCTGCGGTTTACATACTCTAGTTACTTAGTTCTATACTCCCCTTAGAACCTTAATAAACATAATACTTTTAATATCCTCTTGGGTTCTATATGAACAAAAATAGAAAATAATTTTTCAGGGGGATACAGAGTTGAAGTTCCTTACCAGCAACACAATGCTTGCCGGCTACTGCCTCTCAGGATCCTCCATCAGTCTCCTGAAAGGAATGCGGACTCAATTTGTGAGTTTTGCCCCCCCCCCCATCCCCACCCCACCAAAAAAAAACCTGCCGAAAACCCTAAACCCTAAACCCTGAACCCCAAAACTCAAAACCCAAAACCCCAATCCCTAAACCCTAAACCCTGAACCCTAAACCCCCAGTGTTAAGCCCTAAGCCTCGCAACACGCAAACTAAGGCCCTGGCCAGCACCTCATCCTCGAGGGCCGAAGGATCACGAAGCCTCGCGGGTCAGAAGCTTCAGGGGGTTGGGGTTTGGGGTTTAGGGGTTCAGGGTTTAGGGTTTGGGGTTTGGGGTTTAGGGTGTAGGGTTTGGGGTTTGGGGTTTAGGGTTTTGGGGTTCAGGGTTTAGGGTTTGGGATTTAGGGTTCAGGGTTTGGGGTTTAGGGTTCAGGGTTTAGGGTTTGGGGTTTAGGGTTCATGGTTCGGGGTTTAGGGTTAGTTCAGGGATTTTAAGGCTCGAGGGGTTTAGTAAATCTAGGGTTGATAGGGATCACAGTCATCGCAGTTTAGGTTTTGGGAGTCGGGGATTCATTTGGGTTCAGGGTGCAGAGTCTGGCCTTTTTGTGTGAGCGGCAGGAGGGAGAGGGGACCGGTAACACGAGAGAGATCGCAGGGTCGTGATGAGCGTGAGTGAGAGTGTGTTGATTGTCGCTGCTGTTGGTTGCATTGTCGTTTGCGGTGTTGTTTGCGTTGTTTGCTAAAACTTGGAGGACTGGAGGAAGGTGAACGACTCTGCCCAAGTGACCTTACAAGTAGTGAGCCATATCTCGCAAACACAGGTGGAGAATGGAGCCCGTAAGCCCCATACGCTACAGCCTAAATCCTAAACCTTGGTATCCTAGACGAAGCCCCTAGACAAAGCCCCCAATACCTTAAGCCCGAAGATCCGTTTTTAAGCTCGCAAATACGCCGAACTGAGACAGCACGCCCACAGCCAACACCGCAAGAAGCTTCAATGATGGGTGACCCCTTGCCTCTTCATGATGTCCTCCTCCACAGTTTGCAAGCCTCTCTGCCTCATAGCGCAGATGCACATCAGCAGAGACTCTCGGCTATTGCTGCTAAGCCACCTTGCTAGTTTGACCGACTGCAGTTCACATCTGATATTGGTCAAAGCCTTTGTACTAGACTCCAACCTACCGTAAAACCTCCCCTAAACGCAGTTGAACCGTAAAGCTGTTGGCACGCTGCATGTTTGTCTTCCTTTCTCGAGTTTCGCAGCAGTAGATTACTGTAGGGAACCACTGCCGTCCTCAGGTGACCTACGACACCCCCCTTTGTTTCCTAGAGTCCCCCTCAGGACTGAAACTCTCCAACCTCTTTTTTGGCTCCGGAAACCGAAGAGGTTGGGCTTTAGGTGGCTTAAGGCTGAGAGCCCCAAGCCGAAGCCCTTCGCTTTAGGGTTACCCTAGGGTTTAGGGCTTAGGGCTTAGGGTTTAGGGTTCATGCCATAGGCCAGGGCCCAAGCTCGCATTCTGCGATCAGTAGGCCGCAGCAAGCTGGGTCTGGCCTTGCTCTCGCCGTGTGCAGGGGTCTTTGGGGATTCCGGACGTCCCGATGCCTGGATTGGTGCTAATCTTCACACTCCTGTTAAGATTTGTGGTTATCTATATATACACATTAGCTATCTGTCTATCTATCTATAGGTATATATTCGTATTACACTTCAGTTGAGCACTGTAGTAAGGAGTCTATAATGAATTGCGGTATATGTGTGTGTATATACATATATACGCACATTATATAAATATATACACACATACGTATACATACATCCATACAATGTACATATATATATATATACATACACAGCTATATTCATATTCCTCAATCGCCCCGATGGCTGCAGAAACAAAAGAAGGTTTACAGGACGTTTAGGGGGATGATGTTGGGAATCGTTAAGGCCCTGCGCGAATAAGGTCAAGGAGAAGGGTTTAGGGTTTAGGGTTTAGGGTACTGGAGGCAAACCCCAAACCCTAAACCCCAAACTCCAATACCACTTTCCCCAAACCCCTAAACCTCAAAAGCCCGGGGTCCTGTTTATAAGCGCATCCTACTTTTTGGGGTTCTACATTAGGGGTCCCCTCTTTTCGTAAGCCCCCAAAACCCCAAAACCCCAAAACCCCAAAACCCCAAAACCCCAAAACCCCAAAACCCCAAAACCCCAAAACCCCAAAACCCCAAAACCCCAAAAACCCCCAAAACCCCAAAACCCCAAAACCCCAAAACCCCACCCCCAAAACCCCAAAACCCCAAAACCCCAAAACCCCCAAAACCCCAAAACCCCAAAACCCCAAAACCCCAAACTCCCCAAACTCCCCAAACCCCAAAACCCCAAAACCCCCAAACCCCCAAACCCCCAAACCCCCAAACCCCAAAACCCTAAAACCCTAAACGCTCCCAAATTCCAAACCCTGATACCCTGCATTCCACCGGCGCCGGGCAGAACTCGCTTTACTGAAGCGGTCCTGCGGTTCAAGTTTCAACAGGTGTTGGGTTTCACGGTTTAGGGCTTAGGGTTTAGGGTGATTGGGGTCTAGAATACTTCTCAGCAAACAAAAAGCTTAGTTTCTTGCTAGGGTACGTACTTGCGTGTACAGTATTCTCCGCGCTTTAGAGGGCGTTGGCGCTGGGGTGCCAACCGTTCTAGACCACCATGAGTCGGAGAACTGACACCTTTACGCCCTATGCCCTCAAACCCCACACCCCACACCCCACACCCCACACCCCAAACCCCAAACCCTAAACCCTACAACCCCTGAAACAAAGGAGCCCCAAGGCCCGCATGGCCACCTGAGAGCTCAACGGCGTGGGCCTTTGAAAACCTTTTGAGAGCCATATTTCTAACGACGATCCTAAGCCGAGGTTTTAGGGTTTAGGGTTTAGGGTAAAACAAAATATCCCAAAGGCCCACCCGAAACCCGAAAGTCTAAACCCTAAACCCTGCAGAGGCTGGAATGGGGGGATTCAGAGTTCCATGGTCCAATTAGCATATTCAAAGGCCCGGGTGCAGCGCCTGAATAGCATCAGGGCCTGCTGCCAGCGGCTGGACAGTGGACTTTTGGAGGTCCTCGCGCTCCGGGGAGTTACTGGGTCCCTAGGGTTTCCTGAGTCCTGAAGAACTAAAACCCTTAAACCCTAAAGCCCTGAACAGTTCTCAAAACCAACACGCAAGCTTGGGGTGTACGACTGCGGTTCAGGGGCTCACAAAAACTTATACACTTCCCTGTTCCTGGGTGTTTATAAGGGGTTGGGTTTAGGGTTTAGGAATTTGTTTCGCCTTTCGTTAATTTGGGATTATGCGGGTTTAAATGTTGCCAAAATGGGGGGCCCCGAGCACCCCTCCCCTCCCCCGAAACAAACTCACGAGAAGACGAGCGCAGCTGCTACTGAGCATGCATCCCCACAAACTAAACGCTAAACCCCTCAAACTCCTAAAGCTCGTAAAGCCGTAGCACCCTGAAACCTTAAAACCCGAAACCCCTAAAACCCAAACCCTAAACCCTAAAACCTTAAAGCCTTCCCTTAAAACCTTAAAACCTTGAAACCTTAGAACCTTAAAACCCTAAACCTCAAAGATTTTGGATAAAAGCACGATCCGACGCTTCTGACCAGGGCCTCACGGGTACTGTAATCCCTATTGAGGACTGTTAGTATAAGGTGGAACATCCCCAACCTAACGCCCTAAAGCCTTAAAACCCCAACCCCCCAAAAGCCCATAAGTGCAATATTTGGGCCTCAACCAAAACAAAGGGACAAGGGTACCTCTGAGCTACCCTAAACCCTAAACCCTAAGCCCTAAACCCTAAACCCTAAACCCTAAACCCTAAAATCTAAACCCTAAACCCTAAACCCTAAACCCTAAACCCTACCAGGGCCTCACGGCCAGGCAAGCTTGAACTGCGGATCCCACATTGATCTCGCCGAGACGGAGCCTGGCAAAGCAAAGGCTACTCTGGGGCCTATTGGGGGGGGGGCCTAAACCCTAAACCCTGAACCCTAAACCCTAAACCCTAAACCCTAAACCCGGGCCGCACATCCTAAGCCTCCTGAGCCCATGGGAAGAGGCAGGACAAGCCCAACTTCGAACCGCGGAGCCTGTGTGAGCCGTTTTTGTGGCTGAGGGGGGTTCGGATGGTTTCGGACTCAGGGCCCTGAACCCTAAACCCGAAACCCGAAAAACCCGAAAAACCCGAAAAACCCTAAACCCGAAAAACCCTAAACCCTAAACCCTAAACCCGAAACCCGAAAAACCCTAGACCTTAAACCCCCTAAGCCCTGTTTGGGGAAGCTGTCGCACATGCAACGTCAAGTGCTCTTTGCTCGCGCGGGCCATGTGTGCTCGGCATCCGGTCCCGAGCAGCTGCAGTTTCACGAACTGGAGAACTGGTTCGGGGCGGTGGGCGACTTAGGGTTTGGGTTGATTGGGGTGGTTTAAAGGCAGATTCAGGGTTTGGGACTTGCATTGCCTCTTCGGATTGGCTTGTACCTTCAGAGGTTATGGGATGGGAGTTTTCGTCCAGGAGATGGGTGGTACACGCCCGTCGGGCCCTGCTGCTCCATCGCATATGCAGTTCCGCAGACATGGCTGAGCGTTCTCATCTGGAAAGCCGTTGCTTCTTCCCTGGCTTCTGGTCATCTCCACCGCCAAATCCCACGATGTCCCCGATGGGTCTCCTGTCATCAGATCGTGTCAGGACGTCTCCCTTGGGGGACACGAAAGCCAGCTTCCTCGCTTTCGAGAGCAGGTCTTTGAGACCCGGAATCATGAGCACCCTTGCTTCCACCCAGCTTGTATCCAGATCCATGGCCACCGTGGAAATAACCTCGCCTGTGAGCTTCCGCAGGACCAGCTGAAAAACAGAGTTTTCAAACTCGTACGTCAGCTGAACCAAGGTTGAGCTCCACAACTGCACGCGCTTATCCCACGTGCGCTGACGCTGCCGGGTGGGCGTGTCGGAGCACCATACAATGCGTGTGGGTCGGCTGCCCAACCTTGAGTGCTGGACATGAATTAGGGTATATATTTCTTGTACCCCCAAAAGGACACCAGGTATGTACACTCACCAATATTAAAAAGGAACCTTATGTACACTCACCAATTTCAGCAATATAAACCCTACTTCACATAACTTCAATGACTGCAAGAAGTAGGAGCTTTGGACTCGTGGCTCAGTATGGATACGACTCGGCTCTAACACCTGACATAGGAACTGTAGGGCCTCTTCAACTTGAATTGGTATTTTGGGGGGTAGTTTATGTTGCGTACAATCGCAAAATACTGGTAGTTACTTAGACTGCTTTAGCGCCCAACAGCACCCAGAAACCCTTGCGAGAGCCGATAAGGCTGCATCGATTTCAGCTGGCCCATGGGAAAGAGCTGCTTGCCCTTTCCTCCATCGCGGATCTCAAAGATGCACTGGTTGCCTGGGTTGCTGTCAAGGTAACTGGTTGGGATGTTCCCCCTTATACTAACAGTTTTGAATAGGGATTATATTAGGGGATCCTGGAATCCCGATTAAAGGCTGTTCGTACAAGGGGGAACATCCCAAGCAACTGTCATCAAGCACCATATTGTGGATATACGGCAGTTCATATTCCTCCTGTTGGCAGCTCCGTTTCTTAAGTTTCTCAAACCCTAAACCCTAAACCCTAAACTCTAAACCCGAAGCTCAGCTGCTGGTGGGGAAGTCCACCAGGGTCACGGACCAATGGTTGGGCTTCTCAGAGGCAGTGACGTTATACACAGCACGTGTCTCCAGCTCGAGCCATAGGCCCTGTATACTCGAAGAGCACATCGGCAATGCTTGCTGCGAAGTTGACCCGTGAAACCCTCTGAGAATTAGAGTCCAAGCCTACTCAGGGATAATGTAGATGGGATCCTTTTTAGAAAACTGATTTCTGGCGACTTTGGGGCAGGTGCAAGTTCAATTGGGGTTTACTTCTGTGTCGCCGTGCTTTTTTACAGAGGGGCTAGGTCTGCTCCATCGCTTCCCCCTCCTGTGCAGTCTGTGCCCCCTCTTCATGCATGATCCCTTTCGCGGCTGATGGCTTCCCGAGTGGTTGGCATCAAGAGCGCATATGAAATCTCTAACCCCCTAAACCCTAAACCCTAAACCCTAAACCCTAAACCCTAAACGGTTGGTCCATACATCCACCTTCAAGCCTACGCTTTGAGCCCAAACTCAACGCGAAGCCGAGGGTGGCATACGGCCCGTAGCATCAAGTATTTCCATTCGAGTCGTACTAGGTCTAGCAGGTTACGGTCAATGATCAGATGCGAATATTCCAACAAATCAGAGTTTCTTGGGATTTCAAACCCGAAACCCTAAAGCATCGACTTTGGCTATAGACCGAGGGCCGGCTTAGGAGGTTTAGGGTTTAGGGTTTAGGGTTTAGGGTTTAGGGCCCCCGCCAAAGCTTTACACCAAAAACCCAAACACTAAATTCACTGAACCCTCCGCCCCAACCCTCACCACTCCCTGGCCCCATAGCGATGATAAACCCAACCCCACCCCCCACCCTTTGCACCCCAAATCCTAAACCCGGCATCCTAGGGTTTAGGGTTTAGGGTTTAGGGTTAATGTGACCTGGAGCCCGACGCGAACTTCGAAACCTGAATCCCCCAATCCTGATAGAGGTCTTGGGTGTTTGGTTCGTGTTGCTCCCCCCCCCCCCCCAGCCCTCCAAATACTGAACTGTTAGACCCCCCGAAAGACCCGAAACCTAAGCCTTAGCCCTGAAAGATCTACGTTCCCCCAGAACCTACAAGCCCTAAACCCGAAAAACCAAAACCCCAAAACCCCAAACCCCAAACCTGCCTCCTGGCTTGCCTCAGGTGTTGCGAGAGTGCAGGGTGCGAAGGGTGCGCGCATGCCAGTGTTGAGAAGGCAAGGGTACGAGCCCAGTAACCTTAAACTGGGATGGCCCTCGAAACACCCTCAGAAATATTCCTGAATAAATATGCTCCTCTCAAACCCAACAAAGGAAAATGTGAGATATCCCAAGAGCCTACCTAGTAAAGGATCATGTAAGAGGGTTCCGGGGGTATAGGTGTCATCGAAGGGGCTTCGGTCGTTTAAGGGGCGTTCCACGGGACTTATGATCGCAAGGTGGTACGAGGACTGGCACTGAGTGAACTTCCCGGTTTGCGTCGGGCTGTTGAGCTGTTGCTTCAAGGCTGCGTGCAACGGTACGTTACGCACACCGAGTTGAGACCCCAAAACCACAAACCCTCAAAGCCCTACAGCCCTCTTGACCCAAAACCCTAAACCCTAAAACCCTAAACCCTAAAACCCTACAACTCTAAACCCTAAAACCCTAAACCCCGAAAACCCTAGGCCCAAGCCTCACCCCAGGTTTAAGCTCAGGCCCCTGCAGTGAGAGCTTTCGGGATTCCCACAAACCCCTAGCCGCTAAACCCTTTATCCCCTAAACCCCAAACCCCCAAAACCCCCAATATCGGGCCTAAATAAGCAGAAATAGGGCTTCGGGGGGGGGGGGGGTTGTTTTTGCACAATTACAAAGTGGCCCTAAGGAAGGGGGGGGGGGTGGTTTTTGTATAGTTACAAAGTGGCCCTAAGGAAAGACAATCAGTAATCACGTTCCGACCCCTATATATTAAACCCCTAAAGGAGGTGGAGGGAGCCGGGGGGGAGGGGGGCGGTCGTTTGCGGGCTTCCAGGCTCCGCAGCTGCACGCTTCTAGGTGGTAGGGTTTAGGGTTCAGGGTTCAGGGTTGAGGGTTCAGGGTCCAGGGTTTAGGGTTTAGGGTGAGGTTTTAGGGTTTAGGGTCAAGGGTCAAGGGTCAAGGGTTTAGGGTCAAGGGGGCTTTAGGGCTTCAAGGGTTTAAGGGTTTAGGGGCTCAGGGTTTATAGGAGGGAACAAACCCTAAACCCTAAACCCTAAACCCAAACCTTAAACCCTAAACCGGCTTTGGGGGGCAACGTTGGTTCGGGCGTGCCCTTCTAATGGGATGGTTCTGAGTGCGTCGCATGGCTTGAAGAAGGGAGAGGGCATGCCTTGGGCCGTGCTGAGCTTGGGAGTTTAGGGTTCAGGGTCAGGGCTTAGGGTTTACGAGTCCCAAACGTTTGACAGGCCCAAAACAGGGTGTTGCCCCCCCCCCCCCCTCCCTGCGAGAAAACGAGCTAGAATTCTCAGCGTTCCAGCCTAAATCTTCGCGTTCAAGTATGCATGTACAAATGAAAAAATATATACATATATATATATACACATATATATAATTATATGTATATATATATATATATTTATATACATATACATACATATATATATATATACATATATTTGTGTGATATATGCGCGTGTGTTTGTGTGTGGTGGGTGTTTGTCTGTGTGGCTTTCTTGAACGACTTTTCTTGGGTGGAGGGAAGGTGGGGCGTCGGGCAAGCTAAACATCTCTGTGGCCCATCGTGTTTAGTCATGCCCTTTGAAACCCGAAGCCCCTCGAAGAAGAACTCCCTGCCATTGCCCTAGCCCCAACTTCCCCAAAGCCTGCTTCTGGCCGTTGAGGGCTTAAGTTACTCAAGTTGGGATGTTCCCCCTTGTACTCACGGTCCTTAATAGGGATTATAGTCGGGGGTACTAGAATCCCTACTCAGGACTCTCTTAGTATAGGGGGAAGATCCCAATGTTCAGGGTCCCTAAACCCTAAACCCTAAACCCTAAAGCCTAAACTCTAAACCCTAAACCCTCCGGGGATGGGACTTATGAGCCCTGGGACCCTGTCTCGGATCTCATGCCGACAGGGCATTAGGCGCTTGCTGACACTCAAATGGGGGGGAATTTCCGGAAAATTACGGGGTGGTTACCTTCTTGGGGTCCTTTAGTATAATTCAAGGAATCCTCCCTTACCATTTGGGGGTCTGGATTAGGCGCCCCTTATTTTCGTACATCCCCGAGTCTCTTTACCGGCAATCCTGTTCGGAGCATGTTCGGCGTTTGCAGGCTGCGGAGGCCCTGGCTTTGCCGGGTGTGGCGCAGTGCAAGGGATTTCGGCTGCAGGGTTCACGGTTTAGGGTTTAGGGTTTAGGGTTCAGGGTTTAGGGTTTAGGGTTCAGGGTTTAGGCTTTAGGGTGAAAAGTGCGTGGCCCGTCAGTCGATGAGCTGGTTGATGAGCTGGTTGATCCATGTCGGCTCCAGAATCAGGCTCAAGGGGCTCCACCGAACGAGCTTGGAAGCCAAGATCACATTGAGAAGCGTCGCCGATCCCAAATATGGAAGCCAATACCTCTACTGATCATAATTAAATAACTTTTGCTGCTTCTTAGGAATTCTAGTACCCAAAAAAGAAAATGATTCCTAAGTATCCCTAAGATACCCCCAGGTTGGCACGGCCTGTGCCCAGTCGTGCAGTTTGAGGAGGAGCGAAACACCCAAAGCGTTGATCACCGGCTGATGGAGGTGGTACGTGTACAAAGAATGCTTTCCCAAGTCTGTGCACCAGGACGATGAGCGAGGACACAAGCATACTAAAAACACCAGCGCCTTCACTAAGCTCGTGCACGACATATAGGCTGACTTCCAAAGATCTTGGACCACCAAACTGAATCCAAGCTCCGATGGATCCAGGGTGTCTGGACCACGGACAGTGACGTCACGCAGCACGTGCTGAAGGACGGGAAGCTGCTCAAAGAAGAAGATCGCGGACATCAGCGCGATGCCCGTGCACATGCTCCGAGGACCCAGCTCTGGCAGCGCGTTCACGCACCTCTTGGGGCTTTGGGGCTGAGGTTTGCGGCTACACAAAATAACGGGGGGGGAGCTCAAGTCATGCCATGTGCGGGGGAATACCAGGCAGGAAGCCACCACATCCCCGCACCTCTCTACCGGGAAAGCCTGGCCGATGAAGAAGAAAGGTAGGAAGACTAATGAGGTGCTCACGGCGAAAGGAATTGGCGGGACAAGCCAGGCGACCACAAAGCCCAGGCATGAAATGAGGATCCTAGACTGCTCTTCAGGCCCAGGTTTGGGTTTGCAGCACTTTCAAGAACTCAGACTCTCTGATACACAGAAAATGTTCACTAAGCCACGATCTAGGATCTTGGATGTCGGCTGGAAGCTCACAAAAAGAAACCCACACAGCTGCCAAAAGATCAGGGCCTGCGCATACCATATGTGAGTTCCCGTGTTGTGGAAGGGGTACTTCAAGTCGTTGTAGATCAGAGCCAAGTACGCGGCGACTGATTTGGGAAATCCCTCTGGAGTTTCTGGATCGAGATACTTTGCCACTGGGCCCAGGAAGGAAACAAAGAGTAGCAAGGATGCCACCTGGTGACCCAGGAAACTCTGCACTCCGCGTCTGTCTGGCCTTCGGTTACGGGTCACCCATCCACTGACGAATGCAAAGGCACGTGTGTGAAAATGAATCAGTGGCGAAGTGGGACCACCAGGGATGTGCTGGCTACAGATGAGCACCATCATCCAGAACTTGGCATTATCGAGAAGATCCAGACGCGGCTTGGCATCTTTGTGTTGTGATCCATCAGAGGTGTCTTTGAAGTAAGCATGCAGAAGTACGTGAAGGGCAGCGAAGCCGAGTACGGCGAATGTGGAATCCAACAAGAGGATGTTGGGGTGACTGTGGCTACTGCGCTCAAGGAGCTCCCAGGCTTTCAGAAGTTCCGTACTGCTTGGCGTGGGTGGACTTGCAGCCTTTCGCACGCGCAGGCTCAGAAGGCCTATGCCGCCTGAGACATCTCGGTCTTCATGCCAACAGGCCGAAGCAATCGAGGCGTTCACCTGTCGTGCATCGGCTCCTGCCACAAAGCTCAGGACAGCCAGCACCAGTGCCAGTAACATGAAGAGAAGATGCCCCCGTGGTGTTTCGGAGAGGCGTCTTGAGCCACAAATTCCCACGAATGGTCGGCTCTGAAGCCCTGAGCCCCAAAGCAGCAACGCAAGCACTTTGAGGCCACCGCGCCGCAACGCTCACCGAGGTTCAGCTGCTTCTAGCTTGCGAAAAAGAACATGTTCGACCCTGCGCCAACAAACATCATTTAAAATAAACACTATTCTCCAAACCCTAAGCTTTAACCGCTTTCAACACCAAGTTCAGCTGGCTCAGGCCCCCGCTGCCAAGGACCCTCGTAGTTCGGGTCGTCCTTGACCCCAGCCCCGCTGCACAAAGGCAAAGAAGAAGAAGAAGAAGAAGAAGAAGAAGAAGAAGAAGAAGAAGAAGAAGAAGAAGAAGAGGAAGAGGAGGAAGAGGAAGAGGAATAACAAGAAGAAGAAGGCAAAGAAGAATAATAAAAACAATAACAAGAACAAAAATGAGGGACCTTGCAATCAAAATGACATCCCAAAAAACTTGGGGACCAAGTTTAAACAGAAACTGTGATCTAACCTGATACGTTAGAAGACTCAGAGCTACCTTGGGGGCTGTTGATCTTTGGAAGAGCGGATAGCTGCCAACCCTAAACTTAGGTTAGGGTTTAGGGTTTAGGGTTTAGGGTTTAGGGTTTAGGGTTTAGGGTTTAGGGTTTAGGGTTTAGGGTTTAGGGTTTAGGGTTTAGGGTTTAGGTGTTAGGGTTTAGGGTTTAGGGTTTAGGGTTTAGGGTTTAGGGTTTAGGGTTTAGGGTTTAGGGTTTAGGGTTTAGGGTTTAGGGTTTAGGGTTTAGGGTTTAGGGTTTAGGGTTTAGGGTTTAGGGTTTAGGGTTTAGGGTTACGGTTTAGGGTTTAGGGTTTAGGGTTTGGTGTTTGGGGTTTGGGGTTTGGGGTTAGGGGGTTTAGGGGTTTAGGGGTTTAGGGGTTTAGGGGTTTAGGGGTTTAGGGGTTTAGGGGTTTAGGGGTTTAGGGGTTTAGGGGTTTAGGGGTTTGGGGGTTTGGGGGTTTAGGGGTTTAGGGGTTTAGGGGTTTAGGGGTTTAGGGGTTTAGGGTTTAGGGTTTCGGGTTTAGGGTTTAGGGCTTAGGGTTACCCCATCCCATTGTTCCCTGCTTGCGCCTCGTAGTCGTCGTAGTCATCGTCCTCCTCCTCCTCCTCTTCCTCCGGCTCCTCCAACCTATGCTTGGTAGCCCAGTAACCATATTATCATAAGGGCACCCTGCACCCGTTTTGGGGTTGGTCATTTTATAAGGGAACCCATAACCAAAAAAAGGGTAAAGGGTACCACTGGGCTACCAAGACCAAATGGGCACAGCAGGCAAAAGAGTTTAGAAATTTGGGTGTACGAAAATACGGGACCCTAAAAATAGACCCCGAAATCGTAGGATTCCCTTACGATAGGGACCCCAAGGAGGTAACCCCTAACTTATGCAGCGACAGCACTGAATGGGACAACGCTGGTGTAAGAAAATGAGGGGCTTGGCCGGAGAGCCGACACCTAAAATTTAGGGTTTAGGGTTTAGGGACAACCCAAACAAAGCCAGGGTACTGGGTACCCTCAGCTTTGGCCTTGTTTTCGCCCCCCCCCCCCCCCAGGTTGCAACACCATGCTTGCACGGCTTAGAAAGTTGGGGTGGCGCGCAACCCCCCCCCCCCCCCTCCCCCCAATTTGGCAAACGGATGCTCGCATGATGGGTTTCACAAAGATTCAATATGCTTTGACGCAAGCTGGCACGGCTTTAAAACTCGCGGGATGGGGGGGGGGAGAAGTGCACAATGCTCGCATGATGGGTTTCAAAAGATGTCTGAACAAGCTTGCACCGATGGGGAGGGGGGCGCAGACCCCCCCCCCCCTCTCTCTTTTGCAAACACGATGCTCGCATAATGGGTTTGACAAAGATTCATATGCTTTGAAGCGCGCAGCCCCCAGCCCGTTTGCAAAGGGAGGCGCACAATGCTCGCATGATGGGTTTCAAAAAAGGTTCATTTGCTTTGAAGCAAGCTTGCACAGATATGATGGTTTTCCAAAAGACTTATATGCGAACCATAAACCCTAGACCCTAAACCCTAAACCCTAAAGCTTGCCTGTATGGTTTAAAAAGCAGTGAGGTTGAGGGGGGACCAGGGCGGGGGGCACCAAGGGACTTTGGGACCAGGGCAGGGGTCCGGGAGGGGAAAAATGGAACAAAAGATACGCCCAGGTTTAGGGTTTAGGGTTTAGGGTTTAGGGTTTAAGGCTTGGGGCTTAGGGTTTAGGGTTTGGGGTTTAGGGGCTCTGGGGGATTCAGGGTTTCCGGCTTTTAGGGGTTTGGGGCTTTTTCGCTTGCAGGCTGTAGGGTTCACGGCCTCCCGAAGCCCCAACCACTTCTATCCGTTTGAAGCCCAGAACCCCCAAGCCCGTAAAACTCATAAGCTAAAAACCCAGAAGCCCCCAAACCCGCCCCCCCGCCATTTATACTATGAAGCACTGCCTCTGCAAAACTTTTTGTTGGCACCAAGAGCCCAAACCACCAAAAACCCTGAGAGCTGCTTCCTAGTTCAGGGTTGGGATAGTATGAAAATTTAAGTTTCTATTCCTTATTGCGTTTACGTACCCTAAACCCTAAACCCTAAACCCTAAACCTAAACCTAAACCCTAAACCCTAAACCCTGACAAAGCTTCTGACCGCTGGGCCGTCGGCGCTGGCGCTTGGGCTTCCAGGCGTGCCCTCCGGCGCAGTTGCACCAGAGCCTGGCTGGGTTTAGGGTTTAGGGTTTTAGGGTTTAGGGTTTAGGGTTCAGGGTTCAGGGTTCAGTGTTCAGGGTTCAGGGTTTAGGGTTTAGGCGGACTGGCTTGAAAGTGTCAATCTAGTCTCCTACTAGGATATGGCCCGCTACACTTTCCGTATCATACTTGATGAGCTTGGCGTACCCACCTCTGTATGTAGCACGCACTTACGGACTGGGCATTCGAGTCTCCTCTTTGAAGAGCCACGGGCAGTTCAAAGTAGAGTTAGAAAGTGACCTCAACCACTCTATTGTACTGCAACCCAAGATGAAACTACCCATGCTCCCGAACCTTTTTAATCATGTCCGCAAAGCTGAAACTCTGATGCCTAAACCCGCCTGGAGTGAGCCCGCGACGAAAGCAAAGCCGCCTCGAAGGAAGCGGATGCGCCCAAAAGCCTAAACCCGGTGTAGGGTTTTGGGCTGAGGGCGATTGAGGGTGCTGTAACTGGTCAAAGCCAGGGTACTGAAAGCCCTGCTCAAAACTACCCATGCGCCACCATGAAGGCTCTAGGGCCTTTAGAGCTTTCAGGGTTTTCAGGGTTTTAGGGTTTTAAGGGCCTTTTTCAGGGCTTCTTGAGGCTTTTCGGGCTTTTAGTAGCCCCCTGTCGAGGCAGGGGGTGCTCGGAACCCGCAAAAGAACCCCTCGACTCCGGAGCCGGGAAACGTCCGAAAAAAAAACCCAAAAAAAACCGCAAGCACCCGACACGAAAATACCCTAAAGACCCAAAGAGACCCCAAAGAGACCCTAGAGAGACCCTAAAGATGCCTTAAAGATCCTAAAGCCGCTCAGTCCCTGAAGAGCCCAAAGCCCTAACAGCCCGAAGGCCCTAAATACCCAAAGCCCTGCGTCACAGGACCTACTGCCCGAAACCCTTTAAGGCTTAGGGTATATTAGGGTTCGAGGGTTTTAGGGACCTAGGATTTAGGGTGTTCCCCTTATAACCCGGGAATCCAAAGTTGAGGGCTCAGGGCTCTTGAACGCTGGAACCCAAAGTTTGGGATTTATGCTCAACACTCGAGTCAAAACTGAAGACCTCGACCCCAAGCCGTAAACTTAACACCCTGGACCCAAAATCCACCCAAAACCCTAAACCCTAAAACCTAAACCCTAAACCCGAAGCCCGAAGCCCGAAACCCCAAACCCTAAACCCTCACTATTCCCCCGAGCTCCCCGCCACGATGCCGGACCACTAGTGGCGCAAAAGACCGGCTCGGTGTTCCTCTTGTTCGTGGCGGTTTCGAGTTTCAGGGTTGTTGCTTGGAGGCTCATGAACAGTTCCCAGAGAGACCAATGCCAATACTCCTTAAAAGAAGGAAGCTGCCTTTTACGCCGGAATGCGACATGGGGATCCTCATTCATTTCGTCTTAGGGAAGTTTAGGGGCATTGAGCTCCGGAGTATAACTGGGGTTCTGAGAAAAGGCAGAGTTATAACTGGCTGACCCCGGAACCTTCAAGTAGAACCCTAAACCCTAAACCCTAAACCCTAAGGCCTCATTTCCTGGTCAAGGTGCCCACCCTCAGCCCGCCCCAGTGCCTAGAAGGGTGGGAGGCCTTAAGAGCCACCGGCCTCTTTCCACAACCCGAACATTAAGAGACCCGAAGGGGGTTACGGTTTACGGGTGCTTGCAAAGCCCCACATGTACGTAGGGGTGAAGAGCTTCGGTCTGTCCCGAACCTGAAAACCCCTAAAGCTTGCCATTAAGCGGGTGGAAGTCGCAGGTTTCGAGCTTTTTGTCGGGGGGATCTGCAAAGCGTAGGAGCCTCAGGGTGCGCCACTTCCCTAAACCCTAAACCCTAAACCCTAAACCCTAAACCCTGAACCCTCACACCCTTGCGCCGGGCATCTTGCGACTTCTTTTGTCTTCGTGGAGTGCGTTGCGAGCACCTTAAATCTATCCGAGACGCGACCGAAGGCGCCCCGGTGCTGCGACCCTGAGCCCCCGAGCCAATAAACCCCAAGAAGCCCTAAAAAGCCCTAAAAACCCTAAACCCTAAACCCTAAACCCTAAACCCTAAACCCTACGTAAACCCTAAACCCTAAACCCTAAACCCTAAACACTGTGGGCTCTCGTAGTGCTCAAGCAGGGTTTAGGCAAGCCCCCAACCGAGCTTCCTCGTCAGTGCTTCCGAGCATCAGCTTAGCGTTCAGGTCAGGGTTTAGGGTTTAGGGTTTAGGGTTTAGGGTTTAGGGTTTAGGGTTTAGGGTT